AAGAATATTTATATGCGCTAATATACTCGACAACTTTATCTAACATGTCGCAAAAAAAATGATTTCTATTTCTATTGTAATTCTATGAATAAAAAAGAAGCAAAAGTCTTCGTTACTTCCTCTCTTGTTCTCAAAAGTATTCTCTACGTTTTCATATTAAAACAGTAATTTATTGAAGATTTCTTTTCTACATTTATTTATATATCATTTCAAGATGCTAAAACTATGAGAGAAGAAAAAGAAATCACACATCCTTTTTTTTCTCCTTGATCTTGATAATAGTAAATATTCTTTAATATAAGACGCATTTTATTCACGCTTGTTTAACTACATATTGTCCGAGAATGAAAACAAACATTATTAAACTGAATAAATGTAATTATTTTCTTTCTAAGAAACCTAATCTTACATTGAAATCATAAAGGGTATAAAAAAAATTTTAATGTTAAAATATAATATCTGATATAAAATTACCGTATCGTAAAATAATATTTAGAAAAAAAAGTTTTTTACAAATTAAAATTCACATGTCTGCTAAATAATTATTTTTCTTTTATCAAAGAACAAATTAGAGATGGCACATTTACTTTTATAGACTTTTTCAATATAGAACTTTACTTTTGAAGGTCATTTTTCGATATTGCTCAAGAACTGAAAGTGATGTGTTGCACATAAAGCTACTACTTTTAAAAGTAACTTCTTTTCACTTCAAAAATATTATGCAGTTCAGTTCATGAATAATATAGAAAATGACCTTCAGTACAAAGTTATAGCTGCAGTCAAAATTAGGGGTGTCACTCTATCTTTATCTTTATTCAATAAAGAATAAAGATAATATTTATTTTAAGAATAAAGAGAATGCGGCTGATGATTCGAAAAAACTGCGATCAATATTACCTGTTTCATATAAATTATTTGTCTATTTGTCGATGACTTGAAAATATTTGCTTTATTTTTTATCATAAAGAAAAAAAAAGCAAATAATACTTTTTATCAACATCGGCTACTTAGCAATAATATACCCGATCAAAAGTGTCAAACTATTGCAAAACCTATTCATCACTGAAATAGTCTAAGAAGTAAGTATGCTATCTCAATTCAAAATATAAATTACACTCCAAACACACTTTATTATTCACACGGAACTCACCGAATAAAAAGGCTTTTGTGATAACGTTATTTGATATAAACATACTGATCATGTGTTACACAAATATTATATGCCTTTAAACATGTTAATTGGCGTAAATCGAACTGATTCTTCATACTTTTATTCGATATAAATTGATATTTATTTTGCAGTTTTAATGTACATCGTTTATCTATCATATAACGAAAGAAACCATACTGAAGACATTCCTGTCGTACGCAAATGATATTTGTTTATGAATTTATTCTAAAATAATACAAGAAAAATGAATAACTGTTATATATCTAACTGTCATATTAACGACATTTGTAGATAAAAGAAATTTTATAAGACTGATCACGTCGGTCTAATATAAATTGTATTTTGCTTCCTATTCAAAAGGTTGACGATAAGAAAGAATGAAAAGAAAAAAAAATTTGATTTTTTTCCTCATTTATATACAGGCATGTGTTGTATTTTATTCATAATATACCAGTATGTGACGTCAAAGACAAGAAATAATTATTTTATTCATGTATGCGATATAGTATCCATGGTGAACAGGTTAAACAAACAAACGGTTTTGAAAAAGTAGCTCATTTGCATGTATTGAAGAAATGATTCAAGATGGAAAAGATTTATATGTATTTATTGATTTCTAACATAAGTTTCATTAATCTGTTGTTTTATGAGAAATATTTCTTTACCAACAAAGTGATTTTTGATATGAGACATCGGCAAATAACTTTTCTTCTTGTCAATAGTGAGAGAACATACAACATGCACGCATTTGTATGGTTCAGTCACTGATTGATGTCTAGTATAAAATTAAATTAAATGTACAAACACTTGTAGAATACAATAATCTTTATTTGAAACATTCTTATCAATAGAAAAGAGACTAATTTATGTGTTATAATAAAGATTATCAAAATTCTAGCAGTACCCAAGGATTGAGAAATAGGAATCGATCTTTACTTCCACGAGAGTTTCCTTACTTATGGGTATGAGAAATCAGCGTATAATATTCGTTCTGATATTTGAACAACCCATACTGTGTTTTATTCAATAATTAATACTTTTTGAACAATATTTGACAAAATAATTTCATATGTAAAATAACGAATGTAATTATATATTCAAAAGAAAAAATTGTTGTAAAAAAAATGAAAGGATCTTACTCATATATAATAATTATTGAAATGATCGACATGAAGTTTTGTTTTTTATGTTTGTTAGAATTTAATCTTCATTTATAGTTTTAGATGAACAAGAAGATCTAGTCTTGATTGGGATGTACAATTTTTTATGATAGCATTACTGACTGTTAGGCTTATATCTGCATCACAATATTGGACCAATACCATCAACAGAACTTAGATCAACAAGAAAAACTGATCTTTCCACTGACATTTATGGTTAACGATGTCAGAAATTCAGATATATATCAATTTTTTAGGATATTCGGATCATTATTTATCATATGATAATTCCTATAATGGTTATTAATATTATCTATATTAGCGAGAAATGTTCAGATTCACAAATAAAAGAGCATTGTCATGGCCCTATCCTATCGATTTCTATCATGTTTTTCACTTCAAAGTATATCTCAACAGTATGTTAGATGACTGCAATTTCCCATAAATTAGAATGCAAGTTGTCAGTAGAATAAGATATATATTCAATAAACATTTTCGTTAGTTGTAAATGGTGTTAGTATGATTTCATCAGTATGCTTAAAAATATCGTCGATCATTAAATCTAATCGTGTTAACATATCAATAATCATAATATCATTAAGATATAGCCACAGGGCATTTTTTATCAACGATATAAACTATATAAGACCATATGGTATTATGCTTGTGTACTAACAAGACGAACGTAAGTAATTCGATCGAATTATCAAGGTTCAATAGTATTTACGAATATTATCTTTCTTAGAAGAAAAAAAACAACAGAATTTTATAAAACTTTTATGAAAAGATTTTTCTTATTTAATATACACCATTTGTGTATTTATCCTTGAAGTTAAATAATATTGATTGTGATCGAATGGTGACAGCTTGTTGGCATGTAGCTATCGGACTTTATCCTATCTGTTTTCTTTCTACTACGTAGTTATCTCCTGTAGAATAGGCGACTATTTGTGAAACCTATCGAAGAATATCAAAAGAAAAATAGAAGCAACGCCTAATTACAACAAAAAAAGGGAATATAACCATTACAGATATTTGATCGATTGGATCTACCAAAATAACTTGAAATCTAGAATAACAAGTTATTTATTTACAAAATAAACCATCGCACATGAAGATATATTCGATTAAGAAAGCATGTAATGTAATTATAAAATGCTTCTAGACAATCTATTATATCAGAATAGAAATGCATCATTTGTTAATAAGAAAAGAATATATATATATATTAAAATTCTAAAAAAGAAAAAAGAATTTTTTTTGGGGGTTTATCAAGTTATACATATGTAGTTACAATGTTCAAAGCAATTCAAGAGGAGAAGAATAAGATAACAAACTTATACTTAATATCGTTCAAAGTAATTGTTTATATTCTTCTCTTTATCGTTCTTTTTCTAACGACGCACAAATATCGTTCTCTTATCCTCCTGTTCTTCTTCTTCTGCTTCTTCTTCTTCTTTTTTTCTTAAGAATATCTTTGTTCCAACCCATATACTCAGTAAAAGCAGTAGCAGCAGAAGGAGATCGTATCAGCAGGAAAGAGATAAAACAGCAGCTGAAATAAATAATGATGGTATTCTGCTTTAGTAGCAGTAGTAGCATCTTTTCTTCTTTTTCTCCTGTTCGTTTTCTTCTTTCTCTTATTCTTACTTTCTTTCTTTCTTATTCTATCATATGCGTTATTTTTATGAGATCAGCTAAAGAAGAACAGTTGACCCATACTGTGAATATAGATAACACTGATATCTATTTGAACTTCCGGATATAACGAAAAAAATATTTTTCCTGGATTATCCATAAAATGTCAATCTATGTTGTTGACACACAGACACGACAAGTTATAAGTAAGAAATAAGAGTATTCTCTATGAGTGCCAAATATTGACGTTTCCTATACTAAATAATATCAAGCAATCTCAACATCAACTGATTTATTCTTATTATCCGATACTTAGGATGATGTAGAAATCAAAAAAACATGAAGTCATATGCATTAATATATATATATGTATTTCCAGATTTATCTTTTTTTTCAGATATATTTTATAAATTTCTTTTTAATATATCACAATGCCAACCGACGAAAATGAGGTAAGAAAATTTATTATTACGTGTTTTTTTATTCTCATGATAATCAATGAGAACAAAAAATTTCTAATATAAAATAATCTCTTGTGACATAACGACTATAATAACTTGGTAGTAGTACTTAGATAGCATATGATAAAGTTTAAAAAGATACAATCTATGAAACTAAAAGTAAATATGTGACTAAAACTAATTCTAATGTTATGTTTTTTTTTTTATATAAATCTTCTTTTCATGAACTTGATGACGTTTTGTTTACCCAGACAAGATATGTGATCAATGAGAAAGAGAAGGAATCTGCTTTCGTGCAACTTTAATGTTATCTTTTGTTTTATATGTGACAAATGCATACTTCCGCTATCTCATTTCACAATGACAATACTATTGTTCTATACAATACAAACATAGCACGGAAGAGAAAAGAGTCGAGTGATATGTTTACTTTAAATGAAATAGCGAGAATGAGAAGAGAAGAGAGAGGGAGAGAGAGAGGCAAAATCTCAAGAGACACTTTTTGTTGATTGTACAGTAGAGTCATTCAATATCATACTTTCATTGACGGTATATCAATACAATACTACTATGCCATCATTAACTATACCTATGACAAGTAATATTAATATGACAAATTTATGTAAACGAACTTTAACACATAATATAGTTACTTGTCCTTCAACACCAAGTACAATAGAAATAGAACTAAAGGTAAAAATCATTAGATATTTTCTATTCCCTCGAAATAAAACATAAGTGTTACACATATTCATTCAAATATAGATTCTATCTATTAATTGAATTAGATATATATATATATATCTATATATAGACAGTCTGGATAAAAAACTGACACAATTATTTCGCTATTGATTAATATCAATTTAATAAAAAGAAATGATAGAGCGAAGAGAATTTCTACCCGAATGGCTTCTTCTTTTTATTGCTCAGCTATTATTAAATATTCTTTATATGAAGAAAAAAAATTTTTTTTTTATTATCGATGTATGAAAACGTGATAAGAAAAAAAATCGATTTTTATAAACTGTTTTTTAATATATTTTTCTTTTACTCGTTTATTGATCTCACAACAAAACATTCAAGTATGATTATTTCTATAAGTATTTTTTCTAAAGTTTCTTTTACTCGGGTCAATCGACAATTGATGAAAGAGTATATATATATATATATGTGTATGTGTGTATGTGTACAACAGGAGGTCTATTGTTATTTCTATGAACGTTTGAATGTATATATGAGAAAAAGAAATGATTTTCTTTTGATTTAAATGTTTTTTTTTGAATATAACCATTGTCCTTTTCTTTTTTTTTCCTATTCATTTTTTTTTTGTTCCTTTGCCGAATACATGTTTAACCCTACTGCATTACATTATGAGGGCATCAAAGAAAAAGAACGAGAAAGAGAGAAGAAGAAAAAGAAAAAAAGAAGAAAAAAAAGGAAAAAAAAAAGAAACCGGTGCTTCTGCGGTTGAACATTTAGTAGATAGGAACTATTATTTCTTTCGCTTTTATAATGTTCAATAGCAGCATGTCTTGTATGAATATAGTTACTGGAATAGAAAGAAAAAGAGAACTAAATGAGAGGAATAAATTATATAAGAATAACGAGCAAAAAAAAGAAGAAGAAGAGGCAAATCGAATAGGAACTATGATAGTCTGATAAATATTCTTCATAATGAATACTTGTGAACCCAATGGGACACTATTTTGTATTCTTCATATGTCTATGTTATATTCTTGATGATGACTGAACTCGTCTATCTATACTCTTCATGCTTTGTCGTTCTTCTCTTTTTTTTTCTCTATCTTCTCTGTTCTAACATTGAATTAATAGGAGAGCAAGACTTTTTATACATCATCAGCTCGAGACACGACGTTTTTCTTTTTCTCACTACACCCACCCAGTCACACACATACACACACACATACACACATTTACATCGGCATAATAAGTACCCTCTTTTACTTTCACGATGATTCACAACTAAATTGAACGTCGGCTTCGAAGCTCGCTCTTGCATACCTTATGAAAGATTAACACACTTTATACATATAGAACACACGTTCATGTAAGCTTACAAATGAGAAGACACAGTGAGTAAGAAAAAAAAAACATACATACATATATATTGTAAGGTTAACTGAAATTATTTCAATAATAATAAAAAAAGAAAGAAAGAATCGAATTTTGATTATATTAGTATTACAAAAAAATATAATGTTTATTTTCATTTTCTTTAGATGCCCTTCAAAGTTCGCATCTCAAAATTTCGTCATGTATTTGGTACTCCTTACCGTGAACAAGATTGTTATAAAAATATTGCTATAACACGTAATGCACATGATGGAAGTTTTTGTGCAGTTAATTCAAAATTTTTAGCAATTGTTACTGAAACATCTGGTGGTGGTAGTTTTCTTGTTATTCTTCTATCTGAGGTTTGTTCATTTCTTTTTTCGTTAATCTTTTTCTTTTCAAACAAAATATTTGATATAGGTTGGTCGTGTCGATGTCGATCATCCACGTATAACTGGTCATCGTGGTCCAGTCGTTGATCTTAAATTTAATCCATTTAATGATAATGAAATAGCATCATGTTCAGATGATGGAACAGTTAAAGTTTGGTATATACCAAATGAAGGTTTAAAAACTGATACATATCAATGGAAAGTTGATTTACATGGACATCAACGACGTGTAGATTATATTGAATGGCATCCAACTGCACAAAATCTTATATTAAGTGCTGGTCTTGATCATCAAGTTGTTTTATGGAATGTTGAACGTGCGGAACCAATACAAGTTTATCGTTGTCATCCGGATGCCATACAATCAATAACATGGAACAGGAATGGTTCATTATTTGCAACTACTTGTAAAGATAAACATATACGTGTTATTGAACCTCGTACTGGTCGAATCATTGCTGTAAATATAAATCGATAGATAATTGTTTCACAATTTTATTTTTGTTTATAGAAAGGAATTGGTCATCAAGGTCCAAAGACATCCAAAGTTGTGTTTTTAGGTGATACTAATCGTCTTCTATCAACTGGTTTTGGTAAACAATTTGAACGACAAATATCAATTTGGAATGCTGTATGTTTTAGTTTTTTAGAAAGAAAATAAAAATTAACCTGTTTTTTTTCATTTAGAATGATTTATCAAAACCATTAACAGTTGAAACTGTTGATTTTAGTGCCGGTGCTCTTATTCCATTTTATGATCATGATACACATACAGTTTATTTAGCTGGAAAAGTAAGAGAAAGAAGATGACAAATGAATCATTTTTTATTTGATATTATTATTTAAGGGTGATGGAAATATTCGTTATTATGAAGTTAGTGATCAAGGTGAACCATATTTATATTTTCTTTCTGAATATAAATCATCATCACCACAACGTTGTCTAGGTAAAATGAATTAATAAAAATCAAAATGATTTCTTATTTTTCTATTTAAATAGGTATAATGCCTAAAATTGGTCTTGATGTAACACGTAATGAAATAATGCGTTTCTATAAATTATATGCTACTGGATCTGTATGTGAACCTATATCAATGATTGGTTAGTTTTTTTATTCTTTAAAAACCTTCTTATTTTTTTTTATTTAAGTTCCGCGTAAAGCTGAAGCATTTCAATTAGATATTTATCCGGACACACCAGGACCATATCCTGCATTATCATCCGATGAATGGATATCTGGTATTGATCGTGATCCAATATTGGTATCAATGAAAGATCGTATTGAAGGTACAAATATGCCTAAAATTACAACATATAGAACACTTGATTCAACTACATCTACACCCGTTCTTCCTCATCGTGGAACACAGCAACGTACAGTGCAACCACCTATTGCTGAAGTTGCACCTACACCTAAACAAAATGTCAATGATCAGTCTCTAACATCTTCTATGTCACATGAAAAATTATCAATAAATACGCAACAACAACCACCACCACCACCACAACAATCAGCTAATAAAGGTTTAAGAAAAATAGAATCATTAAAAATGCCAGCTACAAGTGTTGAATTCAATAATGTTAGGTAAAGAAAATAATTTTATTTTTATATAGAATATATTTTAGAATAGTTAATTAATATTTACATAATTCATATTAGTAGAAAAGAGGAAAAAAAATCAGCTGTTGAAGAACGACGTCAGTTTTCAACTCGACGTCGTTTAGGACGTACAAGTTCACGTGGTATCTTATTAAATACCAGGTTCGATACTTTTCTCAGCTTTATCTAGACCTTAGAAATGCATTCCCAAATATATATTTTCTTTTTGGTTCCATCAATATATTGATTTTTTTCCAGTGATGAAGTTTTACCTTCTCCTCCTCTTCTACCAGAACGTAAACATGTATCACCTCAACCAATGGCTAGTCCAACATCAAAAGATTCGAAATCATCATCACGTCATAGTCTTTATAAAACACTTCGTTCATCATTTAAACCTTTTTCATCACCATCATCAAAAAAATTAAGTCATGCAAGTTCTACACCTGATCTTTCATCAGTACTATCAGATAATAAAAATTCGAAAGATGATGATGATACATCATCATCCATTGAAAATCTTTCCAAACATTATTCATCTTTAACTATACCAAAACAACGTCCACCTGGTTCAATTCTTAAACAAAGATCTCAACCACCTCAGCATCCAGTTCATGTTCAAGAAGAACCAATTTATATTTCATCAGCTTGTGTACCTTTAAATAAACCTGTCATTCAATCAATCATACGTGATCAGAATGTCAATGTAACAGAGAGGTAGTTTTGACTGTTTAAACCATGCATGGAATGACGTGTATTGCTTTTTCTATATCCCCCATTGACGTAATTTGCTGTGCAATTGTTTTATTCATTTATTTATTTATTTATTTTTATGATTATATAAAATATCTTCTTTTTTATTTAGAGATAAATTTCAAAATCAAATTAGTCAACATCAACAACAATCTCAAACATCCATAAATAATAATAATAACAATCAAAATCGTCGTAATGTTGAAGTAAAAAAGAAAGTATGGAGTGTAGATGCACCTGAACAACAACAACAACAACAACAACAACAGATGTTTCATCATGTTAATGGTAATGGGCATTATCCATCAGGTCAACAACCAAATGGAGTTGATGTTAGTAGAACAAAAATAATAGATAAAAGATTTATGTATATATATATCATTTTCTTTCTTCTAGTATCGTCAAGCATTTTTAAAACAACAAGAAGAAGTTCAATCATTACGTGAACTTATGTTATTAAAAGATAATCGTATTCGATTACTTGAAGATGAATTACGTGTATTAAAAAATCAATGTGAACATCAAGAGAATGAACAAATAAGATAATTGAGTGTTTGCTTTTTTTTTTTATATATTATTTGTTTTTCTTTTTCTATCAATATTTTAGTCATTGTTTTTTTGCAGTCTATGTCTATGTATGAAGAGGAAAGCATTTTTTTTGTATTCTTTTTTTTCCTTAAATATAAAAAATAATTGAATGCAAAATTTATATTTATAGTTGTTTTCTTCAACTGACAAATTATCGAATATATATATATATCATGATTTAATATAACAAAGTCAATAATAATATAAGTAATACTAAAGATATTGAATGATGAAATGACATATTATTTATCCATTCAATATCATTATAGTCAAATGATGTATCAGTTATTAATGAAGATGGATACATAGAATTATTTGTATTATTAATATATAAATGAATCCAATCTAAATAGGTTATTATACGTGTATATACACCGGAATAGAGTGGATGTGCACATCCATAGCCAAATGATGTTAAACCAGCAATAACCCATTGTTTACTTGATGTAAAAATCAGGAGAGGACCACCTGAATCTCCTTGACATGTATCTAAAAATAAAAGATTTTTTTTTTATTGATAAATTTCATTGTTATTAATTACCCTTTCTGCTATTGTCAACACCAGCACAGAATTGATTTTTTCGATCATAAATCAATGGATAACAAGTAGATTTGTTATAATCAATAATTTTCAATATAACTTGTTGAAGTGTTAAAGATTCTGGACCATTTTGCCATAATCGACCCCAACCAATTGCAACAACCTGTCAACAAAAATAAATCTAAATACATAGAATAAATCAATTATTTTATATATTTACAGAAGAATTTATAGGTGGATATTCATATAAAGATAAACTTGGTAAACATATATGACCTAATGTAATATCAGTCATATCAAAAGGTGATGATAATTGAATTAAAGCAATATCATTATTAAAATTGAATTCATCAAAATGAGGATGTAAAATAATTTTAGCTACATTACGTATTTGTTTTTCTTCAAATCGATTATTTGAACCGGCATGTATCGTAACATATGAAGGATCAATTTGTAAAATATTATTTCCTAAATTATTAGAATATGAAAAACAATGAGCTGCTGTTAAAATCCATGAATTTGATAAAATTGATCCAGCACAATGAAGTTTATTTCGAACATGAATTGATACAACCCAATTCCATATTCTTGTTCTAACAGTTTGCCCACCAACAATTTTTAAATGTAACTGAGATTTGTCTGAAGAACCACATGATGTATTAGGATCACATGAATAGATTATCTGATTTTTAAGCTGTAGAATTGTAAGTAAAGCGATTAAAAAAACATGTGGCAACATTAATGATAAATAAAACGAATCGAATGATGATTTCGCGTCTTTTTTTTTAAAACGATATATTTGTTCTTTTGTCATTTGTTGTCACTCCTCATGATCAATATCGTTTTGTCTATGACCTTGTTCGTTGAGTTACTTTTCAAAGTAATCAACTGATTTTTCTTCTTTGCAAATAGTCTGTCTGATTATAACTTAATACGAAAAAATTAAATTTTGAAAATTTTCAATAACAATTCTCATATGAAGCAGTTATAAACATTATATTTATTCTCTGGCTATGACGTAAGCAAAGATAGTGTGATCAATAAAAATCAGGATTAACTTCTAGTTTCTGCTCCAATTAAAGCATGAACTATTCCAAAAGAAACCAACATAACCCTAGGAGAATTGAGAGTAAATATGATTATATATTAAAATAATTCTTTATAATTATAACTTAGAAAATATCTGTCATCTAAGATTATAAACATATATCAAGAATTTAATCTTTTGAAAAAATAATGACATATTGTCATACTGAGTGTTACTCACTATATTACTATATTTTTTTCTATTAGTAATAATATCAACTAAGTACTTTTCATTTTTTTTAACAAATGAGCATCTTTTTGCTTCGTGCGGATTATAAAACTAGTATGTTTTTGTTATATATTATGTTAAAAGACTCTCTCAGCGTGATAAAAGAATTTTTTTATTCATGTGTGGGCAACTAAAGTAAATCCGGTGTGAAAAAAACAACATCATATTCAATTTACATTGACTATTTATCATTATATTAATCTACTTCTATACCTAACGTTATCTGTGGATATTCATTTCGTAAACTTATATAATTCTGAAACAAAATGAGTGTTTCTTTGACCGATGTTAGTAACTGGATGACTCAATATATTATGAGTATATTTTTGCTTGTTGGTATTCTTGGAAATGTAATTAATATATATATGTTTACACGTAAAGAATCATTTCGTAATTCTTGTTCTTTATATCTTCTTGCAGCATCTATTCTTAATATTTTAAGTATAATTTGGGGTATATGTCCATCTCTTTATACTTTATATAATACAGATCCTTCAACATATTCTTTTATCTATTGTAAACTTCGTTTGTATACACTTCATACTCTTCTTATGATTGGTCGATCACTTATGGTATTTGCATGTGGTGATCGATATGCATTGTGTTCACGATCTGCACGACTTCGTTCATTTTGTGAACCAAAACTAGCTATTAAATTAATTATTGCACATATATTTGTATGGCCATTATTAACTGTACATATTGTTTTCTTAGAAAATTTTACTGGACACAAATGTTCTATGTTAGGATCCAATGATCTTATTTATGGACTCTATTCAACTGTTATTGCAGGAATTCTTCCACCTCTTTTAATGTCCATTTTTAGTATATTAACAATTCGACATCGTCGTGAACTTATAATAAGATTGAATGCAGCAAGAATCAATAATAAACGTGATACTACATTTATGATTATGTTGCTGAGTCAAGTTATTGTTTATGTTCTTACAACATGTCTCTATCCAACAGTAACTCTCTATCGAGCTATTACCGGTGACCAAACAAAAAGTAATCAAAGATTACAAATCGAATCATTTTTAGCTTTTATTAGTGGTTCATTTCTTATTTATCTGAATCCTGCATCAGCATTTTATGTTTATTTTATAGTTGCAAAAAACTTTCGTAAAGATTGTAAACAAGCATTTATACGATTGTACAAACGAATAACTGGAGAAAGAAGACGCGTACAACCAACAATAGCACAAGTTAATAGTATACTTCCTATGAATCATGCTATTAAACTTTAAAACATATTCTTGTTGTTATAATATCATTATTATGCACGCCCTATCTTTTTTTTGTTCGTAGTTTGTTCCACTTTTCATAGTACATCATTAACCTTTACCTAGTTTCTTTTCAATTATCATGCGTAAAGTCATGTTTTTTTTCTAAATAAACAATTAATTATGCATTGTACTTCTTATAACTGAACGACAAGGACATTCATAAATTGAATCTGTTGTATTTAATTGAAAAATATTAAGAGAGCTCATTGACATGAACCTCTTTCTGATGAGAAAACGAATGAATGGTCAATACAACGATGATTATCCGTTGTCTATTTTATGTTAATCCATCAAAATAGAAAGTTATTTTAGAACTATATTTCAATGATATATTTTTAACTTTTCTGGTATATCCTAAGGGAAGTAGACCATATAACATTTGTAAAATAAAATAATCCGATGAGTTTTAATCAGCTAAAAACTGAATCGGATCAAATAGGTTTTAACTTCTGACATGTCTGTATATGGTATATATATATATAAATAAATTATTAGACTATTTTTAATCTGTCGAACAAAACAATATATATATATATGAGAATGATCTATAAAATTTATCTTTTATTTTATTTTCGAAATAAATGAATTCAATACAGGAAAAAAAGACAATATTTTCTATATCTGACAAAAGAAATCTGATTACATTTAAGAAAAATGTAATTATTTCTTAGGTTTTTCATAATAATCCATAAGAGTAAGAATACGTCGATCTGTATCATTCATTTGTCCAATCATAGCACTAACTCTATCTGGATTTACTACATTTTGAGTTTCACTTCTAATTGGTACATGATTAGTAAGATATGTATTCAAATCAAAATCAGTTGTTCCAGTAGTATTTGCTCCAATAAGACTGTTTACTATTACATGTTCATTTTCTTCCTTAATTTTTCTATGACATACTCCATGAAATTCACGTTCTTTAGCTTCAATAACATTACGATCTATATAAGGTACATGCCAAATAAGAGATACAAGTTGCGTACTTAAATAAAATAAAATAAAATAAAATTCATTTCTATATTTAATTATAAAATTTATTTACAGATAAGATGTTACGGCACGATAACCTATAGAAGTCCAATGACATCCATCTGTACCTCGTAATTCTGGTAGTTCACGAAATAAATAATGTACATCTAATACTTCACAATTTTTCTTTTTAGCTAATTCAGCAGAAAATGAATTTATATGAAGAAATTGTGTTCGCCAATATTTATTTTCCGGTCGATCTAAAATATGAAATGAGATTTTCTTTCATATGAATATTAAATCTATACATTGTTCATCGAATACAATTGCATTCGGTTCAGCTGATATAGGAAGAGCAGTAAGCCATAAAATAATTGTTGTTGGTGATGTAGCCGCACGTAATTCATCGAAACATTGTGGAAGATTAGTTTTAAAATCAGTTTCACCATTTTGTCCATATCGACTATAAACAAAAAGGTAAAACCTCTATTTGTGTACTTTGTAATATTACCTTATATCCCATAGAGTACTATTGATAATAACAAGATCTGGTTTTTCGGGATCTTTTCTAAATTCTTCAAATACTCGAGCTGTAACATCATTTCGACATCTAAAGAAATTTTCAATATGATTTTATAGTAAATTGTAATTTTTAGAAGAACTTATCGAAATAAATATTACCGAGTTAGAAAAAAGAATTTCACAAGAAAAATATTCGCCAAGAATATACGTTTTTCTTCATATTCAATTCTACTTGATAAACTCTTATAAACTCCACCTTCAAGTAAAATATCACCTAAAATATAAATGTTTGTCTTCTTTATTTCATTTAAGTTGAAAAAAAATAAATTTACCAAAAATTCTATCTTTATTTCCACCGAATTTTCGCTCTAGATCACTCATTAGTCTATCTTCTTGTAAAAGAAGAATAAAATCTTTATAAATCGAACGCATATTTGAATCACCCATAAAAACTACATATTTATTTTGAAATATTTGACGTAAATTACGACTACGAATTTGTTCCATTCTTTTTATTAATTTAAACAACACAAAAACAATTTATTCAGGTTAATCAATTATTCTAAAATAATATAAAACAACAAATATATTAGTAACAAAATTATTAAGGTTGAATTAGTATAGCAGATTTATCTAAGGTTATATAAACAAAAGTCATTTTGGTGGGTGTAGGTGAGGGTAAGGGAGTGGATGGATAGGTGGATGTGAGTAAGAGCGTGAGTAAGGGTGTGAATGTGGTGCCGGTATGAGTGGTTGTGCGTGTTGATGAAAAACAGTCGCATCCATACTTCAAACCCACACTCGTTTTCTCATCTGCCAAATATGTACTATCGAATTTTCCCGATCAGCATCGATTACTCCCACTAGTACATCTATAGAAGAAATTTAGCTACTTGATTAACAGTAGTAGCAGAAGATTTTATATCACATATGTGTATTTACACAACGTAGTTTATTATTTACAAACAGTAGATTTATATATCCAAGTGAAAGAAAACTAGAGACTATATATATGACGTATACAGAAATGGAAAATACTTGAACATTCACATGAATTTGTAGAACGCAAGGCGATATAGAGGAAATCATATAACAATATATAACGGAAATAGTACTAAGGTAATATCACGAACAATTTACAAACATCTGTTATTAAATAAATCTAATAATGAACAAAAATTCTTTTTTTCTCTTTTTTCGTTTTCAAAATAAATATATATCTGACCGTAAAGATAAGACGAAAAAAAATTTAAATTAATGTTCAATATAACAAAAAACAAAAAGAAATTTAAGATTGTTTATGAAATAATTCAATTTTATTTTTCCATTCATTTTGTTTGTTTTGTTCATCATGAATTTGTTGTTGATAATTTTCTTCAAGATTTTTATTTAATTGAAATCTATTCAAATTATTTTCTTTTATTGTTCGATTTTTTTCTTGTAATATTTGACATTGTTTTGTTAATTGTTCAATTTGTTCAAGTAATTCTTTACGTCGATTAATTGTTGTTAAAAAACCTTTATGAATTGTTTCTAATTTAATTTCATTTGAAATATTTATTGAAAATATTGAATCAGTTAATAAACGAATACGCATATTAAGATAACGAGGTGAATGTAAAAATTGTTCAACTTGTTCTTCATCTTCACCAGCACCAGATTCAGGTAATTCTTGATTATGCGTAAACATTCGTTCAAGATGTTTTAACTGTTCAGTTGAATAATATTTATCTATTTGAAGTTCATGAGAATTAAAATAATGTGGCGAATCAAGAAGAATACAATCGACGGCATCTAAATTTTTTTAAATATATAATTTATTAAAGAATATTCTCATGAAATAATCAAAGATTGTATTCTTACCATAATCATCATATTCAATAAGACATCGAATACTTTTTAATAAACAGAGATTACGAATATTTCCATATGTTTGAAAATAAGTTCGAATATTTTCTTCATTAAAATCTGGTTCATTGATTTCTTGATTTTGTGAATTTTTAAATTGTATTAAAACGCTTTCGGTGGTTAAGAAATGTTCGATTTTATTTGAACATTGTTCAGGTAATTCTCGTTTTAAATATAATCTAATTAAATCATATAAATAGTTAAGAAAATTAGTTAAATAAAAATTTTAAAAAACAAACCGCCTATTATCAAGAAAATGTGGTCGAGTGGACATTAATTTATTTATTGAATCTGGTGTATTCATCAATACAAAAGCAAAACAACTCCAACGTCGATAATTTGCTTCGAATAGTTGACATTGATCAACTTGGCCGAATTGTTCAAGGTATTGACATAGTTCTTTTCGACGTATATCAGCAGATAAATTTCCAACATATAAACTATAATATTTTCGATCAACTAATTCATTCGAACTCATTTTAATATCATAATAAGAAATATTCTAATCTAAAATAAGAAAAAGAAAATCTATTTCGAAATTAACTAGCTGAGTAAATATGTAATTAGTCGACAGATTATCATTGAAAGGATATTTACTCGAGCTGCATTTTATCGGTAGAGACATGTAAAAAAACGTTAACTAAAGCCTGATGCTTTTGTTTTTATAAAGAAAGGTAAAGCAAGTGTGTGGAGATGTAGGATATGGGTGTGAGCGTGAGTCACGGGAAAGTTACGAGCACCAGCACCCATCTACCGCACATGCTAAGCAGACGGTGAGATTATCAGAAGAACAACAATTACGATTCAACGAAATGCTATGTTGACAAAATCTTTTTCGACCGATAAAATGGGATTCAACTAGCGCGAATGTACTTTGTTCTAAAATTCTGAAGCCAACTCCGATATATATATTCGAAAAATTTTATTAGAAAAGGAATATTTTTCTTTCTTTTGTTATTAGCAAAGAAAAATAATTATACAAAGTTAAGAGGGAAATCGATGGAAGATGTATACGTCAGCGTCCAAATTGACATTACATTCACTCTCAGATTGGCCTAGGCGAATGCAGGATCCGAAACTGGACGCGTCTAATCTCGTATCTCATATTGGACGGACATTTCTTCAGGCCATGCTCGAATAAAGTATAGAACATACGTCCATTCTAAGATTGGACTGAAATATATATTCGTTAAATGACATATTCGGTCATCTTATTTGAGAAGAGACAATAATATTAGAGATAAGATGATAAGTAGTATTTTTTTGTTGATCAAATCATCGTATTGAATTTATTAATTAATTTATTGATATCAACGTTGATGTAACTAAAAAATGTGCTTTCATCCCTTAGTTTTTATATCTCGTTTATGGCCATTTGAATTCTTCCTCAGATAATCATGCATATTGATTCGTACAAATAAAAAGTTGAAAAATTATCATTCGATATCTCTTAAAGAACTACCCAATTAACTATTTCATATTACTAACAAAAATAGTATGTTCATATAGATAATTACAAGACAAACTAATCATTTTCTGATAAATACTATTGTGAATAATTAAAGTCAATTAACAGAAAAGTTCTAATATAGAATAATTTATTAATTTGTTAGCTACTCACTAAAGTATTCGAAACTCCAAACGTGAAAAAAATTGTATCTATCTATAGTCGAAGTTTAGAAGGACGTAAATGACACATCAACTAAATAAGATAATATACTCAAACCGCAGTAAGACTAATGTAACTGATAAAGACAATGATAATATACAAATTTTTAAGTATCTCATGATATTTTTATTTAAATATTACCATAGTTCTAAAAAAGTATTATATAGAAATATTCAATGAAATCTATTGTACAAACTCAAGAATCCAACCACCACAGTCTTTACAAATTATCCTGAATTTTATTTGTCTTGTAACCTAAGTCATAGCCTATTGCTCAAATCTCAAGACACTCTAATTCGTAGTCTCAATGAAAATATTTAATATTACTTTGATAAAACTTGTATTACTTTCTTCATATTGTATTTATTTATAATTATATAACTTACTTAAAATAAAATTTTTGTTTTTTCTTTCAATAATTCTTTACTATTAATGAAGATAATTTCTAAAATAATTCCAATTCTTACATCGATATTTTTCTTCTTTCGAAATGAAAAAAAAACTAATCTAAATAAATAGAATTAAAATAATTTATATATAAATAAAAACGAAAAGAAAACTAATAATATAACATAATATGCATTCATATTTTATCTTTCTTAAAAATTCAAATAATAAAAGAAAACAAAACTGAAAATATTGATAAGAATTAAGATTGTTCATTGAAATATGCTGTTGGATGCGATTTTATTATTAAGCGACCATTCGAATCACATGACATATTATAATCAGCAAGTACAGAACGAAATCTAGCAATTATTATTGACGATGCAAATATTTTACGATGTATAACATATAAAAATGCAAAAATTAATAAACCGGATGATATAGAAAAATAAAGTTCTTTTCGAAATAAATATGATAAAAATATTAATCTATATGATTTCGGATTATTTATATCATTTGGTTTTGTAGTTAATGATGATGCTGATGTTGTTGTTAATGTTAATAATGAAGAGAAGGATAAAAATGATATATCACTTATTAAACAATAAAATGTTATAAGAGTAGCTAAAATGAGAATAGTTAATATAAGACGCCAACGCCAAATAGGTGGTTGAAGAGAAGAAACTATCTCAATCATACGACGTTCAAATGCTTTTAAGTCATCTGTTTGATCCATATTAATAAAAAACGAAAGACTAAATTTGTATTTCTTATTCACATGCCTTGAAATACAAGGTATTGTTAATTAATTATGATCCATCTACAAAAAGTAAGTTTGGATATTATAAACAAAATGTTCTTAATCATCTTTTATTAACGAAATAAAATAGAATTGTTATTTTCGTCATCATCATCTTTTTTTTTCTTTTCTTTAACTTTTGAAAAATCCATGAGCAAAAAAAAAAACATAGCTGAAAGCATATTTTAGAAGAAAAAAAAGCCGTAAGGATAATTATACAGGACGAGCAAGAAAAAAAACTGAGTCCAATATAGATATTTGAAATAGTCTATTGTTTTATTTCTTCTTTGGTCCAAAGGTAAGTGGTTCACCAATATCTTTTCCACGTAATTTAACACCTAATGCACGTTCCAATTTACTTAAAACTTGTTGATTTGGAATTGCTTTTGATTGTTCATATTCATTAATGATTTGTTGTTTTTCATTAACATTTCTTGCTAAATCAGCTTGTGTCCATTCTTTCGCAACTCGTGCTGTTTGAATAGCACGTGCAACATCTTTATCAACCCTGTCATGATGTAATTCTTCTGTTTCACGATCTAAAACAGCAGTGTTTTTTGCTGCTTGATGTTGTTGATTATTTCCAGCAGCAAATTTCTTTGATGTATCTATAGCAACACCTGCACGCTCAGCAGCTGCAATGGCAGATTCAGATTTTAATTCTCCAGGTCGTGGTGCACGTTTACCTTTTAATAACAAAAAAAATAATAATTAATTAATCTAAAATCATAGGAAATATTTACCAATAACAGTCTGTTGATCCCAACCAACAGTACCACCAAAATTTGCACCTGTTTTACTCATAGTTTTATTTTGTCTTTGTTATAAATGAAAATATCTGTAATTAAAGTTATATATATATATATATGTGCGTCACATTATTGAGTCAAGAAAAAAAAACATATGAGTAATTTCAAGTAATTGCATCAGACTGTGCGTTGTCTTCTAAAGAAAACGAAATTTCTCGAAAAATCAAATGTAAGATAGCTTTAAAAGATTGGTTGGTTAATAATGACGTAAGAAAAATTCAAAAAGAGTATTAAAAAAATAATAAATAAATTAAAAAAATATTTATCTTGAATAAATTCATTTATTTTTTTTTCATAGGAAATTTCCAAGTAGAGGGCGGCAATGTCTGATTTATAACATTGGGAATTTTATAGACGAGAAGTCACTGACGGAACTGCTTTTTTCTTTTTGTCAGCCTATTTTATGACCTTATGTTTAAATAGGCTTGAATTAATTCAATTTTCATTATTATTATCTTTTCGTCGATTTTTAGAAATGTTATCGACTGATGATTCAACGTCAATGACTAATAGTACGAATTCACCTCCAGACCATATAGATGACGTTTCGATTTTATCAAATGATGAAGAACTAGGAGACGATGAAGATCAAGCATCTGAAGATGATGAAATGAATGATGAAGTTGATGTTGATAGTGACGACGAAGAAGAAGAAATAGCACCAGTTCAATCAAGAAATAATAGTATGACGATACCAAATCCAATTCCTTCCGTATATTAAACTATTACTAGAAGTTCATATTTGTTTTCAATAATTTATTTATAGGGATCAAATTCCAGTCTTAATTCATTATTAGAGGAGGATATAAATAATTTATTTTCCAAAGTATCAACAAAGTTCTTAGCCGGTGCTTCACATAAGTATACTATTACGTTTATTTTCTAATATAGAAAAACAAAATGCATTTTTCCTATAGGTTAGATATAAACGATTCACGTTTATTACTGATAACTTTACATTTTTTTACGGATTTTATTGAAACTGAAACATCATGTCAATGGCAAATTTGCAATAAAAAACCGTTAACGTGTCAAATATCAATTGATAAAAAACACTATCTTGATGAACAAGGTTTGTATAAAAATCAAAATAAGCAACATGTTTTTTATATGAAATATTAAGTATCTTGTAATACGTAGTTACTTAGGAAGTAAACAGTAGTTTTCATCAGTATGGTGTAATAACATCAAGTAAAGAAACGAAAGATTTTTTGACCTTTACAAACTTAATCGAGGTGAGTTTTTCCCTTAAAATTCAATGTGATGCATTCGAATGAGAAGCTAAACTTATATAAAATAGAATAATCATTGTTTACTAAGAAGTGTTTTCGTTGACTTCTGCTTAGTTTTTCGATCATTTAGTTATGTGATTTTGGATTGATCTTACGTACAGATGTATTGAACAAATAATCAGATTTTGTTTATTGATATTTACTTTTTGTGTCACTCGCAGTATTTATACGTGATCTTGTCTGCAAATATGACTTTACTCCTTCGGTATTCGAGCACGCGTATAAGTTTTTTTAAATTTTACATACATTATTGTTATTATAATATTATTTAGACTCCATGAAAAAGATTTCTTCCTTTTTCTCTTTCTATACAGTTATGCGTTCTGACACGTCTATTTGTCACATTCTGTCTAGGTTAAGCATGTTCTAATATATTATTTTTCTTTTCTCTTATATACTAAAATTGTTGAATCTAAACAAGAAATGACCTCGATCTTGTATATATATTTTCACAAGATCACAATAAATTCATATTATTCTAAATGTGTCTTCATAAATCATCAATAAGAAAAACCACATGAATATGATGTATCATTTGTAGTTATACAAAACAGATGCGTACTGATACATATAATTAGTATGATATTTGTAACGTTTGGCCTTGTAAGCTAGACTGATTTAAAGATAATCATACCTAAAAATCTGATATATAACAATAAAGTTTATTCAAAATTATTTTTACAGAAAAAAAATCTCAACACCAAATGATTAAATATTATGTTGAAAGAAACTTCTTATGATACGAATAAACATATGTTAGTTCTCGATTTTTACTATATCAACTAGAGACAAACATGATCTGCTCTTAGTCAAGTCCATAATAGTTAGTAAATCCTAGAGAAATAAATATATTTGAAAAAATAAGTTCTCGGACGAAGTGGTTCCTTCTTTTTTAAATAAGGCTAAGGTTCACGCTTCTACTAATTGTTAATAGATCGATCAGTTGATTGAATCTATTAGATCGAAATTAGAACTTTAGATTGTACGAGATTAAAAGTCTAATATATAATAATCTTATTGCTTTTAGTTACTGTTAAATGTGTTTATCAAACTTGCGAATGTCATCCAGCTAATGCATTCAGAGTTCCATTCATAGAACGGTAATAAATTTAAAGTTAATTACACAATAAGAAAATATTAGTTCTTTAAAGACTTATTCGTGATTTTTTTGATAAAAACCGAATTCCATTGGAAACATTGAAATATAGTCGTGCTGCTTTTGATCCTGTTTTACGTCTAAAATATTTGTATGAAATTTATTCATTGATTGTATTCTCAAAAACAAAAAAACGATTCTTTTAGCTTAGATATTCTTCCTCCATCAAAACGAACCCATTATGAAGGAATGTTACTCAATTCCAATGATGACACATTATTAAATGAATTACTTGCTTTTGAAATTCTTGAAAATAATCAGAGAATAGCTCAAAAACTACAATTAATTAAACCACCTCGTAATTCTTCATCAGATACAACGAAACATTATGATCTTCTCAATGAAAAACATTTACCAACACTTAATTATGGTTATCTAGTTCAAGTAAATATTAATTTGTTTATAAAAAAAACAAACACTTTTTATTTGTTTAGTTTTGTTATTATTTCGAATATCGTTTAAGAAACTTAAACTCACTATGTGTTATGTGTGGAAAACGTACAGTTAATTTAAATGATAACAAAAAGACTTCAAAAGTATAAAAACGAAATTTATTTTGATTTGATTTTTTAACATTATTTATTTAGCCAACAATTTGTGATGATTATGAATGTTTTAGCAATGCAATGGATTCAAAATTTCGTAATGATCCACTTCCACCATCAATATTTTCAATTGAAGTTTGTTATTTTTTTTGAAATTTAAACAAAAAAGAAATTAAATATCGATTGAACTAGATTGCAGATTTTCTTCTTCTACTACTTATTGCCGCAATAAGATCAACACGTCATGGATTAATTCTTGATCCTTATCCGAAATTAATCAATCCATATAATACATCAACAACATTAATTGATCAAGATGGAGATGTAAAAATATATTGAACGAAAGAAAAAAACGAATTTTACTATTTATTTTTTTGTAGAAAGAACAAAATATTAAGACATTAAGAGAAATTATCGATGGTATAATATCAATGGGATCGATCACACAATATGAAGTTGATAGAATATCATTAAGAAGTACGTTGGAATTAAAACATCCATGGGCCTTTTCATTTTTTCATTGGTAGGAAATGATTTTTTGAATTTTTATATGAAGAATTCTTTTTGTTTTTGTTTTCAAGGTTGATGGGAACAAATCGATATCATTTCTCAGCAATTCCAACAGCACATCGAATGAAATCTGTTCAAACAGATTATCAATATTTTATAAAACATGAAGATATTGTTAAACATGTTAATTTTAAAAGATTACGAGATGAAAAAGGAAGTATATTTGCTTTTCATGGTTCACCACAAGAAAATTGGCATTCAATTCTTCGATCAGGTTTACAAATTGGAAAAGGAGGATATTTAGTAAGAAGAATTCACTTCATTCACTTATATATTTACTATATTTTATTAGTTAAATGGTGCAGCATATGGTGCAGGTATATATGTTTCACCTAGCTTTGATTTTTCCACATCATATGTACGAAATACTCGTTATTCTCAACCGGAATCAACTGGTGGTAACAATTATAGTTATGGTAAAGAAGTAAGTTATTGATAATATCTTTTAAATTAATATGAAACAGTTTGTGTAATATATTTTACAGCTAAATTGAATATTTAATCATTTTTTAGATTGCACCATTGGAAAGACAAAGTTGGGGTTGTATTGCTTTATGTGAAAGTAATAAAAAAGTTTTATTCAATAATAATCTATTTTGTTTTTATTAGTCATTGATTCGCCAGATGTATACAAGAAACATTCAGCCGATATTTGGACAATTCAAGATCCAAATTTAATTTGTACAAGATTTATATTTTTTTATCCGTCCGGAATATGTCACACATCAATTCGTGTTGATAATGCTGCAGAAGCAGCATCAATACGACAACTTATTCATACATTAAATAATACTGCTTGTTAACAAAACATCTGAACTTTAATAAACGAACATATATGTAAATTAAATTTATTCCATTATTATTTTTTTTGTGTATTTTTCTATTAAACTGTAATGATTCGGCTTTTGAAATATTTCTTCTTCTATATAATATTCAAAAGATCAGATGAAAATATTTTTATACTTAAAATCTTCTTTAGATATCAATAAATTGTGAACTTATGTTACATAGAACTTTCTTTTATTGATGAATTAATACGACTAATAAACAACTAATTGTATTGTTCGATAACAGTATGGTACATATATAGTAAAAACATGCATTATTTTTCTTTCATTGGAAGTAGGTATTATTAATGTTGTGCGAAGCCATAAAGCAAATGACCAAGTAATAAAAGTTTAAAGCTTAGTTACTACGAAAACATATTAAAATTGAAAGCATTTTTCCTTTAGTTAAGTCATAAAAACAATAAAAATAAATTTGTTTTTTCTTTTTACCAATGGTGGAGTTGCTGTTGGTACAGTTGCTGCATCTGATATTGGTCTTCATGGTACAATAGTTATTGGTACACTTGCTGGTATGATATCAGTTTTAGGTTTTGAATATCTTTTACCTATATTAAAATATAAACGTATTCATGATACATGTAGTGTAAACAATTTACATGGAATGCCTGGAATAATATCTGGCATTGCAGGAATTATTGTTGCTTCTATTGATAATCGTTCAGGTTATTTAAATCATTTAACAGATCAATGTCTTGGTGGTGGAGTATCTCGAAGTAATAGTACTCAATCAGCTTATCAAGCGGCTGCACTTGGACTTACATTGGGTATGGGTATTATTGGTGGACTTATAACAGGTGTTATATTAAGAATACCAATTTTCTCTCAAAAAGATAATGATTTTGTTGATGAAGAAAATTGGCATTTACCTGAAAATGTTCATGAAATTTTTCCTAGAAATGATTTATATGCAGATACTTCAAAATATCATTCACCAACATATTTATGAAGAAAATCTTTTTTATGAACTTTAAAACCATTTTCTTATGTGTGTGTGTGTGTTTGTAGTTTAGAACAAAAATTTTATTTTAATAAATTTTTGTCCTTTATTTTAAAATATTCGAAATTTTATTAATAAGAAAGTTACTTAAATATAGATCGACAATAATCCCTTATCAACAATCATGACAAACATAAAATAAATCTAAGCCTTTTGACAAACAATAAATCGATTGATGTATAAAATATTTCCATATCTACAGTTCACTACTAAACAATAAATCCTATGTAAATGAATCATAGGTCATTGTATTCACTTATTTGTTTTTTTCTCTTCTAAAAAAGAAATTCTCTATATGAATTGAAATGAAAAAAACAACAATACGTGTGTTCTAACCTATAAACGTGACATTTTGTTTGTATCATCAATTAGATATTTGATCAATCATATTTCTTTTATAATAGTCTTCTTTTTGTGCGTGTTCATTCAGCTTAATACCAATATCTATTGATGATGTAACAAAATGCTTTTAAAGTATCAAATCTCACCTGACAAAAGAAAGAAATTTTCCTACACTATAATTTATTTTAATAGTTAATCCTGTTTTTTATTCCTAAAAAAAATAATAAAGTTCACATCATAGCCAGAGGTGTTTGACATATTTTGTTAATTCTTTACATAAAATATAATCTATCTTTTATTGATAACATTTGTCAGTTAATTTCAATAGTTATATGATTACTATTTGAAAGTACTTGAAGTTTTATTTTATTTCAATTGTCATTCTAAACTATCACTTAAATAATCATAAAAAAAAATCAACTTGAAATAGATTCTCTCCATCAACTCGTTCATATGATCAGTGATAGAAAGATTGCATGTTGTCCTTCATCTCTTCCATCTGTTCTATGTCTTGCATATATATATATATATATATATATATACAAATATATGAGATCAGACAACAAGACAATCTTCGTAAATTGAGTAATCTACTACCTCATTGATACTCTCTCGCTCTTTACATATACGTTGATTATACTAGTGAACCATAGAATAATAGTAAATGCACTTTGATCATCTCTCTTTGTTCGTCGGAATCTTTTTTTCTTCTTTTGAGAAAAAAAAGAGAAATTTGAACTCATACCACCGCTGTTCCTTTCTCTTATTTCAATTAATACTTTACTCTATCATTATTCTAACTGTATATGAACGTACACATAAAACATTTAGAAACAGCAGGTCATACAATTGATTGTCGCGTACAATTGTCGTTTTTCCGCTTGTATTCAGTTTGAATAAATTCTCTCTGTTCTTTCCATTCCCGGCAGTGCACTTCCTTTCGTCGTCTTTTATAGGGGCAACAAAAAAGAAGAAGAAGAAGAAAAAAAAAATGAGAGAAATCGAATCTTCAAATGAACTCAATTCTAATTGTATGTGTGCTTGAATTTAATCAGCCTAGCAGGAGGGTAAAGAGAGAAAGCAAGCAAGAAGAGTTGTTCAAGTGTATACCTTGACTAGACCACCGACAACATTAAATATCCAAATACTTATGGATCATTAAACACAGGTGAGTAATTTTCCTCTTTTCAACCTTTTTTGAATAATCGTTTTCATAAAAGAAACTTTTTTTCTTTCGTTAAATATTATTTTACAATTAGTTTTGGGTGGTAATATAAAGAAAAACAAAACAAATCTCTGTCCTTGAGTAATCTCATTGTATGTAGATAGACTATAATGAAATAAACATAACGAAAGCCGAGGGATTTATTTATATATATATATAAACGCGCTCGTAGATGTACGCTGTTTAATGTTCCAGTAAGATGATTTTTTTTCAATTTGCTCAAGGTCCACAATTTCTTACTCAATCTCTTTCGTTCACTCCACTATAAAACAAGATGATAATCAGTCATGCTTTTTTTTCCTCTTTCCTAGTCCTATATACATGCATACATATACAAGCACCGAATCAAAAGTGAACATACATATATACATGTTAGACTATAATTATGTATATGTTCTTATTCTATGGACAAGACAGAGAGGAAGGGAGGGAGAGAGAGAAAAAAAGAGAGAAATGAGAGAAAGAAAAAAAAGTCATTTGAATAATGAACGAGTGATGCTGCTAGCATTACTTTAACTTTCTTTTGACATTGTTCTTCTCTATATTCTTTTTTTCATTAAGATAAAACAGAAATGTAAAAAACCACAAGAATTATAAGATAAAAGAAAAAAAAATCTTCATATGGTTTCAGTGGTTATCATTATTTTAAATTTATTATTATCTTCATCAGTAATATTATCGGATGATTATTTGGAGAATTTGTCTGTTAATACAGGTGAAACAGCAACATTTATATGTGATTTACCAGAAAAATATTCAAACAAACAAGTAAGTTCTCATGTCATTTATCATCTTTTGAGTTCTTTTTTTTTGTATCGACAATAAAATAAGCATAATAAACATGATTACGTCGTTTTCTCACTAGGGAAATATATAATATCAGATTAGAATGACATATATAATAGAATTGATGTATTCTAGGCGGATTTCTATGGACCCACGGGACGTTTATTAATAACAAAAACTGATGAAGATATTGCAAGTGGCGATCGAACACGATTTATACTTGAACATACGTATGTTTATCAAGTTTTTTTTTTGTTTTTATGTAAAAATTGAATTTATTTGTTTTGTGTTATATGTTTAGTTATGCTTGGACTTGGTCTTTGATTTTATCTGATGTATCAGATGATGATGCAGGAGAATACACGTGTCGCGTTTCATCTTCATCTGTTGATCAGACATTGACAATCATCAAACGATTTAATTTAACCGTTTTGAGTAAGCGCACATCCATATATAATCTCACATACATCTGTGACTTGATTTTCGATCAAGAAAAAGCGCTTCCGATTGTTATTTGATGAGACATAAACAATATCTTTTAACACCTACAAATTTTTTTATTCTAATATCTTGACGAGACAGTTTTTATGTAATAGAAGACTCTCTATAACATTTTTTCACAGGTTTCATTAATCGAACTATTAAACATTTCACATACACATATTTTGACTTTTTACTAATGGTTATAGTTCTAATGTCTAGAATCAAGTGTTTTGAAAAGTGGTAGACAGATTTGATTAAATATTCTTTTTTTATTTTCTGTCTATATTCTTTTGTCTTTTTAGCACCTCCAAAAATAATCGATATAACAATTGAATCAAATAACAATGAAATACTTCGAGAAAATGAACAAATTATTTTAAAATGTTCAGCTCGAGGAATTCCACAACCAAAAATTATTTGGCATATACCAGGAAAAAAATTCTTATTAAATAAACGAAATGATCGAAGTAAAATCAAAATTTTTGAAAAACCAAAAAGAAAAATAATTATATATTCTTTTAGATATTATTGCATTTGATAATAAATTACTTATAAAAAATCTTTCACGTACAACACCAAGTGATTATCAATGTATTGCCGATAATGGAATACCGCCACGAGATACACGTACAAAACGTTTACTTTCATCTAGTAAATATCTTTTTCTTTTCTTCTATTATGTAAAACAAAGCAAAAAAAAAGCTTGTATGTTTTATCATATGAATGAATACTCTTGAGTATTATGACTCAATTATCTAAATTAAGATAAAAAGAAAAAAAGTTTTCTTTTCTTCGCCTTCTTTTTTTCTTCTTCTTCTTGAGCACAATAGGAGGTTGATGATAATATAATGATTAGTTATAATGCGCTTATATACTGATTGATTGTGTGCATATGTGATAAGAGGAAAGATGATCTCGAATATGGACACATGTCTTTTCCTTCTGTCATTATAATAATCAACACCCACCCATTATTTTTTGTTTTAGTTTCACCTGAAATGACAATTCAATCATCAATAAAATCATCTCGTATTTTACTTAATTGTACAATTATTGCTCGTCCATTAGATTCAGCTAAATGGAAACGAAATCGTTTTGAAATTAATAATATAAAACGTAAACAAATCAATGATTATACAGTTGAACTTCTACTTCTATTAGATGTAAGTTAGAACAGATGTTAACAAGTGATTTCCAGCTGTGGAATAATATTATTTCATTTGTTTATATTTAATATAGAGATGAAAATAAATCTTTATTTATTTTTTATTTATTTAGTTTAATACAAATATATTTGGAATGTATGAATGTGAAGCTGAAAATCAATTGAAAGTTTCAAAAGCATTTATAAATATTGATGGTAAGCCTTTTTGATTATTTACTATACAAGAGAATAAATTGTTCTTTTTAGATACAATACTATTGAATAGAACAACAACAACATCAGCTATGTTACCAAAATATCATCGAATATCATCACCATCATACGGTAAGTTTCATTACATCTGGCAAATGGAAAGAAGATTAGCATTATGAGACGACGACAGTCTAGAGAAAAGAATGGATGAATGAATGCTGGTACTAAAAGTGTGTATTTGTTAAGGGCGGCATCCTTACAAGTTGCTGTTGTTCAAGCATATACAATTAATCTCATCTATGAGTGGACATGACGTGTTTAGAATAATATCTTGTTCTCTCTCACATTTGCTTGTATATATATACATACATATATATATATATCCTATGTCAATAGACATTCTAATGATTTCATTATGTTATTTTTTGATTTCTTTTAGCACAAATTGAACTTCTACTTAATCATGGATCGATTTGTAAATGCCAATTTTATTTTATATTGTTAATTAATATTATTCTTATTAATTATTCAAATGGATTCTACAATAAACGATGAAAAATCATAATCAATCGTGATTTTTCTAGTCGTATATGTCTGTATGTGTGCTTTTTGCTTGATGCCTGTGATATATATATATACAAACCTTATGTATTTGTTGTCAGATGATTTGTCTCTCTTATTGTTGTTGGTTTTTTTTTCTATATGAAACAGTGTTGAATAAAAGTGGAGAAGAAGAAAAAAAAATGTATTATAAAATAAATTCGCTTACGGCATTTGAATGTATAGATTCACATCATCTGCAAACGACATGCTAATTAGTCGGTGAGATTGATGGTACGTATTAGCTTCAGGGTAAAATGTAAGACGATTCGAAAAAAATAGCAATTTGTCTGATTAATTTTATGCATTCAGTTGACGCCGACTATCCATCCACCTGATGCATTTGAAATAAAAGTACCCTCTTATATATAAATATATATCTTTTTCTGTCTAATGTTGATTATAAGAAGATTTTGTCGTCTTTTCAATGTAATATTAATGAGAGTACTGTAATTTTTATGACAACTTAATTGACTAGACGAAATGAAAATCTGTTTAATTTTAAATAGAAGGAAAAAAAAGAAAATACTCAACGATCAGAAGATTATTGCCGCATTGTTTGTCATATATATATATATTTTTTTATATTAGAACATATATCGAATGAATGAATGAATCAACATCAATCGTTAAGTGGACAACATTTTTAAGAGTTTGTAAAGAGTAACAAAATTGTCATTTGAACTTTGATGTTATATTAATTGATATTCAATAGGTGAGTTCATTTATAAAAAAAGGAAAAAGAAAATAGAAAGCAAGACTATTGTGTGGTGCCATATGAGCTGCAAGAGTGTTATATTAACCGATTGATAAAATATAAAAACGAATTAAATCATTAGTATTGTAAATAATACAATATTATATTTTGTACATGAATTAATATGATATATTTGTAGTATTTATTGTTGATTTATTCAGAATAAAATCATATTTTTTTAATAATTTTTCTATTTAAAATTTTATTATGATATTTTCGTTCATAAATACTGTCCAACGGATATTATTAATATCGTCATTATATTATCATTTGGATTTGCGTTCAATGAGTTCATGTCAGTAATGTGTCTATGATTTCGTTCATTGTTATTTCCTTTTAGCAAGTACTATTGAAATCGATGAGTTTGCTCTCATGATCTCCATTCAGTTTGAGTAATGTTGATGGAACTATTGCGTGTAGTTATTGACAATAGACATCATCATTTGATTTTTATTAAATATAGTGCATATATAAATACGATCATCAAATTAGATAGAAATAAATAGAACATATATTTTTAGATTGTTTTGTTCTATATAAATTATGGATTTTTCTCCCATATTCAATTGTAAATATGATCGATGAACGATTAATTTATACGAGAATAACATGAATAATTCAATCATTTGTCTCGTTTTATCTACAAAGCTAGACGTTTAAACATAAAGAAGAAGGAAATGTATTTTTCTTGACTGTTTTCTTTGTCTTTAGTTGTTTATTAGAGAAGATTTTTACTGATTAATTTTATCTATGTGTTAATCGATCTTATTGAAGAGAATCTTCATTTACTTTTTAAAAAAATAATCGTCTTTATTAAGATTATCATAAGAGTAAATTTATTCCATTTACTAATTCATAGGATCTCTAGTTTATTGTTCTATCTAGTGAGATGTAAAGATGATGAAAGATAGTTATTACGCCCATACATCATCAATCGAGTATGTTTTACAGTAAATAAAAGAAAAACAAATTTATTATATATAGATATCTCTATATGTGATTAACTCAGAAAAATGTAACAAAAATAGAGAGAAAAATAAGTTTTCTATTAACTCAATAGCTATTATATGAAGAGTACTAAGAGAACAAAAGCAACTAAATAGATCACGAATATAAAAGATTGACTAGTATTCTTAACAAATAACGATTAACATTATCAATATTTCTTAAGATCTTCTCTATTAACTATAGACCATTGTAAAGTAAGTTTTACATTTATTTCATTTTGAATATTTTTAGAAATTATTTTGCTTGATCATGATGACTATGATATTGAATTAATGACGAATGTTAGTTGATTATCAACGAGTTTTTATGACAAATTTCAAGAATAGAATTGTCCTTCTTTTTTTATCAAAGTAACTTGTTCTTCGAAATACTTTTCTAGAACATTAGTTATTAAATGACTATTTTTGTCATTGGAATGATTACATTTAAATTAGAATTTCATTTTTTTCTTCTCAAGTAATTTTTTAGACAAGTCTTTAAAAAGAAATAGTTTTACATCCCATAAGAATAATACAGATTGTCATAAACATAAATGAAAAAAAAAAAACAAAGTCCAAGTAGGCGTTACTAAAATTTGATTGTCTCTAAAATTAATTGTAAATGTCTGTTCTATATTGAAACCTAGAGACAAACTATACCTATAAATTCTAATACTTTCAAACAAAAAAAAACATTCTTGTATATTAGATCAATATAGAAGACATGTGAGTTATATTTAATTTAGAAAATAAGAAGAGAATCTAAATCTATACAATGACTAGACATAAAATAAGGTAATTCATATTGTTCCTTGTAATTATTTCTAAATGATTACTATTTGAAAAATACTTTTTTTGTTATGAATTAATAAGTAGACAAGTAATATATTTAATCTAGAATATTGTTTTAAAAGACATGGTAGTTGATTATTCAAAATAATGTTTTTTTTAAAAGAAAAACAGGCGATCGAGGTGGGAGAAAAGTCTTTATAAGTACGATGAAGTATTATTAACAAGACAGATGAACCTATGAGTACTATGCAACAGGTTTCTTTTTCAACTGTTCATTTATTAATGAACACATCTCTATATTCTTTTTTTGAGATTTGAATATTGAAGTATAAGTCATCTGGTATGTAGACAAAAAAACTACTCTGTTTAACTTATTTACACTCGATATACACCTATTCGTTTATTATTTAAATTTGAATTAAGAGATATAAGCTCATTTCTTCAGTATAGAATTAGTCTCGACTAAAAATTTTTAATTAAAAAACAACTATTTCCATCATCACCAGTAAACTCCAGGTAAGTTTTCAATGATATTTTCGAAATAAAATGTATAATTAGATACGTTTTTCTATTATCTAAAGATAATTAAGCGATTTTTTGCACTTAAACTTATATTTTTATATAAAATGTACTATATGATGTTGTGTAGGAGAAGAACAGTTTTTCACTAGTATATAATGAAAATATAATCACATTCTAACTTTATCTACGTAGTTGATATAATCATGATATTTTATAGGAAAATAATTTCAGAATTGTAAGTATGAGAGTAGTTCTATAGTTATGTTCGATAACAAATATATTAGTCATTATGATATCAAGTTATATCATGAATAGATATATTTATATTTATTGTCAACATATGATTTTCTAGGATTATTTAGTCAGTACTTTTTTATGTATATAAAAATAGTTTAACTTCTGTTTCATAGTTTCCATGCACTTAACAAGTTTAATACAACAATAGTCACATGAATACTTCTAATGTGATAATTTAGTATACGCGTCTGTGAGCATATGTCACCATGTTTTTTAAAATCAACAGGAACAGAAATATAGTTTTTGATAAAATAAAATATGTTAAAAAAACACCCACATTCTAGTGAGTATAAAAGGTAACATAGATAGAGATTCATATATTTTAATAGAAAAATATACTTGTTGCTTGAACATATATCATAACATTGTATGTATACTTCTTCTTTTAATGTTTTAGAACAAATTATTTGAAAAACTTTATTTCAGATATGGCATTTTATCCATTATATAATCATAGTTCATCATCATCCATACGGTTCTATAAAGTAGGATTGTTCGCACTTGTGTTAATCTGTTCAATTTCATACTGTTCTTCATCACCAACATATTTATTCGGTGCATCCTCGGATAATAGTGGTGATAATGATTACGATATAGATAGAAATTCATATGGTCAAAATTATCGTCATCGTCGTTTTGGATACCAACCATTATCATCAATTCAAGATATAGATATTGCTGAACAACGATTCGCACCAAAAAATCGTGTTGCAAATCTTTTATCAAAAGCAGCTCTTTTACAAGATGATCGACCACATCGACAATATTTAACACATGCGAACAATAGACGATATGTCCCACAAGCATTTCACGCTATGCGAGGTTAAATGAATCCATGTGTTTCAACAGCCACTTTATGCAGTTCTGATCAATATATAATGAACTATATTTTTTGTCATACTATTAAACACGAATATATATATAAAAAAAAATAAAGTATCCTATATATTATATTTCATATTTATCATAAATACAATTTGATAATAAGATTGAAAATGTTCTTTTAATCTCTCTAGTTGATAATATTTCAATTGATTCAATCAATTGTCTGATAGTGAATACTCATTAGTGATTTTATTATTTCAACTGGTTAATCATTTCTTTTCGTAGAAAGGTGTATGAAATCATCGATCACAGCTCAATGTATCGTCTGAATTAAGAAATGATCCTTCACATTGTTTACTTTCAAACTGATCCTATTTCATCCTCAATAATCTGTAACAAAAGAATATATTTGTGTTAGTTTACATATATGTTAAAATATTTAAAAAAACTATGTTGATCGTGATGCACAGGATTTCTATGGTTCTTCGATTTTATTTTATAATGATCAATTTCCTTTTTATTAAAATAAACTATATGCAAATCAAAACATCTAAGTCTTGTCTTAATAATTTCATCCTTTACATTTTGGTAGATGTTCAGTTTTTAATGAGTTTTTTCTTCAAATCTAATTACACATAAGTATTAAATACTAGATTCCATTTTAAGTTTGAAAAATTTATATCAAAATTGTTCAAAAAACACGATGACGGAATAAATTACAACTTGAGATTGTTAATGATCAGTGAAAACAACAGAATTAAAAATATGAGTGGAAAAAGAATATAATATCCACAGTTATTATGAAAAAGCAATTATTAATGAAAAATATTGAGTAGAAATTCAAAAAGCCATAAAAAATACTCATTATTTTTAGATGATGATCTTTATTGCGCTAATGAACAGAAAAGAAGTCAAAAAATGATTCGTTTTACACAAATAGAATATCATTTTCGTGATTCAAATTTCCAATTATCAAATAAAGTTTAACAAGAACATCATTAACTGCAATATAGAATCATTCCGGAACTTTAATAATTAGGACAGAATAAAATTATTCATCTAGCAAAGTTCCTTTATCTTCAATTGACATGACCTTATTAGAATACAATAGACTTACTATTATAATAATAGACAATAGAGATATACATCATATGTCAAAAAATAGATTTCACTAGTGACTTTTAGTGAGACTATTCATCAATTATTATACTATATTTAAATTTAAGTTGATTATGAACGTAATCAAATCAAAGAATGACTAGTAAATTTTTTCATATTCTTAATAAAATAGTATATTATATAATATCTTATTATCATTATCAAAGAATTATTAAGTTTATTTCCTTTTCATGATTGGTTTAAGATTATGAATTATATTTTATCAATGTAAACAGACTTGATTTTCTTTTTTAATTTATGAAAGCAATGGTAAAACTTTTCTATTTTTAGTAACATAATTTTCTTGTAGGGAATATTCTGATTAATAAGTTTGAAAGAAAAACTTACCTTGGTTAATTTTTAATGGAAAACTGAATGTCAACATCATATATTATTGACATCCAATTCAAGTTTTTTTTGTAGAGTATTTATGAATATAAGGAAATTAACATTTATACAATTGTTTTTCAATCAAGATTACGTTTTCATCTATTTCTAGACCAAAAGTACTCTATGATCATGTCAACAATAAGACATGATAATAATCTTAATTTTTTATATTTTCCCAATCGAATCTCTAAGGAATAACATTTTCCTGGATAGATACCCTTGAAAATTGTAATATCAAATAAGAAGATTGCCTGCTTCTTTTCTGATCTTTAATAATTCTATTGTTGATTAAAAATACTCATAAAATTAATGTACTTAGTTAACTATAACACGATCATTTGTTGTTGTTTTTTATGTTTAATCAACTTGTAAATTTCTTTCATTCGTAGAATAATATTCCTATAGAATAAATCAAAAATAAAAGAATATGTTGTTAAGAATTCTCGAAGCGTAGAACGGGTAAAATAGAAGTAATCATTCGGTAACCTTTTTTCTTTTAATTTCCCGAAAGAAAAACTTTTTACTCTTGACATATATTTTTTTCTATTTTGTTCCAAGATTTCAAATCTTTATTATTTTGATAAAAGAAGATCTTATCTATATTAAGTTAATCAACATACTTTTTAATTACGTTCTATCTCTATTTATTGTTCATAATCTTTAGAATCAATCTCATTCTTTTCTTCTATTTCTATTTTATACTCAATCTTTTGTCAGGCAACCTATGCACGTACACATGTAATTCATCGCCAACATTTCTTCGAGTATCATTTATTGTTACTGAAAAAAATCGTCAAACGTGTAAGTCATATACTAAATTAATAAAATAAATAAGCAGTAAGTAATATAGATAATAAACAAACGAACTGTACTCATTTGTGTTTAGATGAAATATACGCATAAGAAGATTAATAGGTTTCAATGGAAACCTTAATAATATTTTAATCATAGATCGAGATAAGTTTTAAATTAATTTGCTATTTATATACGTTCTTATGATGTCGTTATTAAATGGAATGTGAAGTTGCGTGATGTACAGTAATTTACCAGCACGTTATATATATTATCGTCTTTATTAAGAGACTGTGCAACTCTCCTTGAAATTTTATTTCTTTTCACACGACTGAACCATTCATGATTGTAAATCTAATAGATACATGCTATTACTAAAAATCCTCTTTTTTCTTCTTCTTGATATTAGTAATGTTTCAATGGTTAGTATGTTTTTTTCGGCTATTACTACTGGAAATGAAGTACATGAGTAACATATTAAAATTGTTCCCATTTTGTCGATCTTATGAATAGATAATTGAATTGAAGATCGGCAAGATAGTAAAGAATATTGTTCTGATTTAACACTGTTTTCAAGATCTAAATATTATAACATATATATATTGTTATCTGGATCAATCAGTATACATATATATATAGAATACACATCTGTTTTTTTATTGTCTTTTGATTCTTTCTATCGTATTGTTTACTGATGATATATAGAAAAACATGTACTAGGCTGTGTTGTATCTGATACTTTATTTTCATTAATACAAGGTCAAGAGAAAAGAATATACCAAAAGATCATATTTCCTATATTCAACAGATAGTTTTGAGTGTGAAATTGAAATTATGTTTTTTTTATGTGTAGATTTTCGAATTAATAAAAGTTTATTTATTATCCAAATACTTTCTATGTAATAAAAGAATTCTGATAATTATCTTCATATTGAATCTATTCTGTGAAAGAAAATACAAGAATATTTCATTGAATAATTAACGTCTGTCTTATATTCACTTATTATTAAAAACATCTATAATATTATCTGTAAACATCAATTTCATCTATTTTATTTCTACTGTATAATAAAACAAATTACTTGTTGACCTTTAGGAAATATCAATCTAATTTTATTTGTAATAAATGTCATTTATGTATCTGAATAACAAAGTATTCATTGAAGACTATAGCTTGAATTTTTCTTTTGTAAACAAGAAAAATAAACATTCGACGTTACTTGACTGTATATATTTCTACATGAGCTTGTCATTGATAAGCCTGGAAACTATAAACGGATTAGACATACTAATAATTACCAAGTTAATGACTTAGAAACAGTTTGCAGTTAATTATCATTGTATCACAGTAGCTATATTGATATATTGCGTACATTATAGAGAATATCTTCTATAAAATATGGTATCCTATGCGTTGTGTTATTCATATTTCTGAAGGTTTGTCGATTCAGTATTAAGCAGACAAGTCACAGTTATGCTCTTTTTTTTTATCGAAGGTCTGGATATCTTATGACAATAATACAACATTTGTTTATTGACATTCATAATTCTGCTGTTCTCCTTTAATCTATTTGATTGATCTCATAGACAAACGATAGGTTATTTGCATTTTGTTTTCTTCATTTTCTTTAAATAAATGCACACACACACACAAAACCTAATTAAGTAAAAATATATATGAATATGAAATAGTAATCGGAAATTGCGCTTTTTTTTTTATAATGCACTATAGAGTGCTCTTTAGAATGAAACAGGTGGTGTATGTCTATCAAAGCTCTCAAACATTTCATAATGCATAAGAATTGATAGAAAATGCGAGTTTACTTATGGTGTTACTCGATGTCTATCAGTTTTTTTTCTAGATGATTCCTGTCAGTTACATGTATATATCTTAGGTCTGTTAATATATAAAATGAGGCTAAAAAAAAGACAGAAAGGAAAAAAAACGGCGCTATTTAGTAAGACAACTAGTAGAATATGTTGATGTGACGTGTTTATAGAGAGAGAAAAGCGTTCTATAACTATTTGTTACACTGCCTTTTTTCCTAAACACATTAAACAAGCTTAGAAACTGATAGAAATAAAAAGAATATTGACGAAAGACACCTGTCCACAACATTTGACAGATTCAAAAGCATGACTGTATCTTATTTTTTATGGTACTAAAACTCTCTACATAATAATATTGCATTTACAAAGAAATAATTGTTAACGCGGTGAAGTAAGTCGGAATTTTTATCGATATTTCCCTAGACCTATTATAGTATTTCTTTCATGTACTATTATTTTCCATATGAAAATATTATATCTTTATTTATATCCCTATTACTGAAAGAATTCGATCGATGACATTAAGAAAATATATAAATTGAATTATTATACACTTGGGAAAGCAATATATATCCATTAGAAACGATTCGGTCTTTTATTATATTGTCATCTATTAATAGATCACATCGTAAACAATGACAATATGAATGTTTTAAAACTACATATATTAATATTAGTTCATTTTTTAAAAACAATGTTCACACTTTTGTACAAAAAGAAAAAAAATGATAGAAGAATTTTTCAAATAATCGATCGACGAATAATATCGTTTTACATAATTAGAAAAAAACATAGTATACTTATTCGCTTAGTTCTTACAAAAAAATATGTCTATCACCACGGTGTTAGTTTCCATTTTTAACTCATAATCAATAATACAGAAAAACAGTCGTGCAAGCATAGAGAAAATATATAATTGAATTCTGATAATATAGTTAACATAGGAACTTATACGATTAGTAATTCGAACATAGCATCATAATTTCCAGGGAAATTCTACCATGACTTAATAACTATATATTAATATTAGTTCATTCTTTTTTTAATTAATAGAATTTATAAAAATGGAAAACTTATTCATTGAAATTGCACAATTTTTATCTGGTGTTTACTCTTTGATCCTTATACTTGTTGGTACACCATTAAATCTTCTATGTTTTTACATATTTACACGTTTAGTACCCAATCGTTCAAATCCAACAATAATTGTTTTTGCACATTTAGCTCTAATTGAATTACTCATACCTTTTACATGGAATATAAATTATGTTGTTCGTGAATTATTATGGAAATATCAAAAAACAACTTCGATTAAAAATGTTGAACAACATTCATTGTTTATATGTAAACTGATTGCCTATGGCGCTTATTTTTCTCTTCAATGTGCTGCATGGCTTAAAACATTAGCAACATTTGCACGATGTGTTTCACTACATAATAATTGGCCATTAAAAAATTGGTTATCGAAACCAGTTGTTATTCGACGTGTTATTTGGTTTGTTGTTATTCTTATAGGTTTTTTAAATTTTCCAATATTAATTGTTAATGGAAAACGTGAATATGTTAACGATCAATATAATCAAACCAAAATCGAAATTAAATGTTATCAATCAAGTTTTTTTCAATTTTGGGAAATTGCCCATTTATTATTATATAATTTTATTCCATTTACATTAATGATATTTTGTAATATTTTAATAATTCGTCAAGTTCGAGAATCTCGTAATCGAACACAACGATCAAAATTAAGTGCAACATCACCAAAACATCATCGTACAAAAACAAGTGATGGTGGACGATTAACAAAAACTTTAATATTAGTAACAATATTTTTTATTCTATTTACTTCACCTGCTGCAATATTTTATATATTTTTTGGAAAAAAAATTAAGAATCATAAGAATTTAATAACAATGACTTTTAGTAATTTAGCAACAACAAGTCATGTTACTTCATTTATTATTTATTGGCTTACATCAGCTGATTTTCGAGATGCAGCTATTAGTGCTATTTTTTGTCGACCAATAACATCTCAACGACATTCAATAGAAGATAAACAACATGATAAACACATTTCCGATCAACCACCATTAGCACCGCCAATCGTTCAATCTAATGATGTAGATCAACGGAAATTGCCTTTACTTCTTTCATCATAAAAAACAGTAATTCAATGACGTTTATATGTACATACAACGTATTTCTTTCTTTATTGTTGTATTGTATTTAAAAGTAATAAGGAACCAATAAAAGAAAAATACATTTATATATATTATATTTATTTTGTAAGAACTATCTAAATATATGCGACGAACAAATAAACAACAATTAAACATAGGAAATAGGTGGAGATGACGACATAAGAAATCCAGTACCATTGTCAATTTGTTGTTTTATTTGTCTTTTTGTTATATCAGGTACGAATAATAGACGAATACGTTGTTTTAAAGAAATTCTTGAATCCGATTGACGAATAAATGCATATATAATACATATTGGAATTGGTAAAATAAAGCCTACATTCAAACACCAACCTAATACAATTGACCATGATGGAAATGTATAATCACCATATTTTAATTCATCTGAATAAGTTAAAGATAAAATCATAAGTATAATGATAATAAATGGACATAGAATTGTCCAAGCAAGACGAAAGAATCTATTTGGTTCAAAACCAAGATTTGTACGTATATCAATGACAAGATTATTAATTCCATAAACCTAGAAGATTTATTTCTTTATTTATTATTTTCATATTTATATTATTAAACTTACCCAGCTAGCAGCAATCGCTTCCATCATGACAACAAGCATAAGTGCTGGTGCTGTTGAAAATCTATCCAAGAATTGCACGATATAATTACCACCTAGAAAACATAAAAACATCTCATTAATATAAATTCTTTTTTTTTCTCTTCTCATCATAATGACAAATTTCAATTAACCTTGCGTGACTGTTGGTAAACAGGCAATAATAAGTATACAACACATAATGAACATTCCAGATTTTCTATGACGTTTTAATAAAGGAAATTCATCACTTAATGCTGAATACATGGCTTCTAAACCTCCAAAATCACTATCTAATCCTAAATTAATAACCATTAAAAAGAATAATATTGAAAAAAATGTTGGATGTTCAAATGTTGCTAGTATTTCAGGATATGCAATAAATGATAAACTTGGTCCTTGATCAACAACATTTTCAATCTTTTTCTGTAAACGCCATGACATATGACCTAATGCTGAAAATACAACAAAACCAGCAAGAAAACTTGCAGAAAAATTAGCTATAACAGCAATTAATGCATCATAATAACAATTATTATTTGAAACATTATAAGAACCATATGTTGTTAATACAGATATACCAGGACCAAGTGTAAAAAAGATTTGATTAGCTGCTGAATACCAAACTTTCATATCTCGTAATTTACTATATGTTGGTTTTAAAAAATATGATATACCAGCACCTGAACCTTTTAATTGAAGACCTTGTATAAGTAATATTATTAATACAAGATATGGTAATATAGCTGTTACATAAACTGCTTTGCCTAAAAATTATTTTCGTTTTTTTTTTTGAGAAAATAAATATTTAAGAACAATTCATTTATTTTACCTGTACTTTTTACTCCACGATAAATACACATATACATAAGAATAAATATTGAAATAAGACATAGAAGTAAATCAATTTTAATAGAACCCAAATTAGTTATACCTTTTGAATGATTAAGACCCAACATATAAATATGATAATATTCATCAGCTGATGAGATTTGCGGTCGAATAGTTGAATTAATAAGATTTATTTGATCTAAAATTGATATATTTATTAATTATTATAAGAATATTTTATACGTACTAGTTTGATTAGTGAAGTTTTCAATGCGCATACGTTCCGAACATGCTGCTGTATTCCATGTATGTGAACATAAACTCCAAGGCATTACTTCACGAAAAGATGAAAATAGATAAAATACAGCATGTGCTAAAACAAAACAAAAATTAGTAAGAGAAAAAAGGTTTGTGTTTTGTTATCAATACCAATTATTGTCGTATAGAATAATGTAACTGCAGTGACAATACAAAATGATGCTATACCAATACCTTTCATTGATGGAGCTATTCTACCCCAAAGTGTTATATTACCACAACGATAAAATTGACCAAGAAATAATTCAAGATACCTTTAATATATATAAGAAAAATTTTGAAATAAATACACAAAGACAAAATATACTTACATCATTGGTATACCAATAAGGCATAAAAATATCATATATGGAATAAGAAATGCTCCACCACCATTGTCATAACACATATAAGGAAATCGCCAAACATTTCCTAAACAATGAAACTGACTTTCGATTTATTTTAAATAAATTTATTTACCAAGGTCGACGACATAACCAATAACCGATAGAAGAAATTCCACTTTGTTTGTCCATAAATCTCGTGGAATTACAGGCGATGGCGGAGGTAACGCCAAAGCCGATGTTGTTAATATAACTAATTGTTCCGTGGTACTGGCTTGTCGACTGGTATTATTAGTATTTGTCACAACGATTGATGTTTTAGTTTCACATTCTGGTAAAGCTTCACCAGCTTCTATGAAAAGATTCGATATCAAATAACAAATTAGTTAAACTAAATGCACGTAATTCAATTATCAAGAATACAAAAAGAGAAGAAAAAGTAATGAGAAACACGTTCATTTTAACCTCAATTATATGAGTTGTTCCGCTTTTCTTAATAAAGAAAAGTCTAATTCGTCTCATTTCTTAGAATGCTTATTAAGCTGAAATTAAAAGAAAAATAATCCTATTGTTTATTGATAGAAAAAGTATAATCTTCTTTTTTTATTATTATTGAAAAAAACAACAAAACTTTTTGAAATAGAAAAATTCCATACCGAGTGTGTCCATTGATTATACTAAAATCAAGTGTTCGTTGCTTATTCTAACTTTCTATTAAAATCAATCTTTTCTCATCTTACTATATTTGCATTTTGACAATCAAATAGATTCTCTTGATACTAGTTTTAAAGAAAATAAATTAATGTTCTTCATACTCTACTGAATTCCTTATTTATTTACAAGAAAGTTTTTTTTATATTACTAATCATCATCCATAAATATATATATACATACGTTGATGATTATTTAACGTACTTGATATTGGTTTATTAATTTTGTTTAATGTAATATTCATATGTTGTTTAGATCAATTGAGATATTAATATAGTTGTGGGTATATATGTTTTAAAATGCACACTAGTTTTTTATTCATCTACTAATCATTGTAATATTTGTTCTATTTGACTAATTTTTCAGTCTCTTGAGAAAATACAATTAAAAAAAAGCACTAGATGTATTTTGATTACGATGTAAAGAATAAACAAGGTCTTAGTTAATCAACTATATTTTCAATGAACTGAAGAAACTCAGAATTTATCTATCTAATATTTAAAGTGCAAACTGACATTACAATCTTTGATAATCACGCAATAATATTTCCGACATATACATCCTTTATTTTTTTAAATAAAGTTAGTTAATTTAGTTCGTTTAAATTCTTAGAATTTTTGTCAATTAGAACATTCTAGGAATGTTTTATTTGCATATTTGTCATGTTATGTCTATCAATGAAACAAACGATAGATTTTAAATAAAATAAAATCAATTGTACATTTAATTACAATATGAAAAGATTGACTTCAATGTAGTTCAAATGTGATAAATACACAGGTTATTCATTATTATTATTCAAATAAGTATCAATCTAATTTATATTCTTTTGATACACGTTAATACACTCATGAATGTTCTTTGATGCATATATTATACGTCTGATGTAGACAACCACTTTTTTTTCTTTAGTAACAAAAAAAAAAGAAAAAGCTAATTCATCTACATTTATTTTCTATTTTCAATTGTATAAAATAACATATGGCATTGGTCGCCAAGCATCACCGACTGAACTATATTGTATAATTTATTTCGAATTAAAAAAAAAAGATGGATGAAATGTAAAATAGCAAATTGTAACTATGTACTTTGTTATATTCAAAAAAACACGTGATACTATTTCATATTGTACGAGAGATCATTCATTTTAGTATGTTTTATCGGATCAATAATGACATTGTCATAAGATAAATCAACTAGACTATCGGAAGTTGTTATTATTCAAGCGTTAGATGAATACTTTTGTTCTAAACTTGATCACATAATAGCAACAAATGATACTATATTTAGTATAATTGACGAAATGGTAGGTATAATAAATTATTAAACGTTCATTTCCACTCTAACAAATTTATATTTATAGAATAAATTAATGAAAAAAAAAACAGGTTTTGTAATTATTAGTTTTTCAAGTTAAGTTTTCTAAAAGATTAGAAATTGTATTTAAATTATTAATTCTTTTTATTTTATTTTTTTTTGATCGTATTAAATTATGTTTATTATTTCCTTGACATGTCAGTCTTGAGTTTTCTTTTGTTTAATGTAAGATTAGATACTTTCGGCTTTTCTTTTGACTATTATATTTCTCAATACGAGGGGAAAAAAAGAAAAAAACACAGTAGTAAGAGGATCTTTTTGCTAAAGGCCAAACTCGACATCTGTTACTTTCATCATGCACAACACACACACATCCATTTACATTTTTTTAACAACAGAACATAAAAGAGAAGAGCAGAAACGAGTGGCGAGTGATGTTTTGGTTGTTGCCAGTGCTACTCATTTCTCTTAGCATTTCTCGTCATCACCACAACATTTTAAAAAGTGAATTTTTTTTTTCTTTTTCTTTCAATTATTCTTAAAATCAAAGAAAAAGAAATCAATTCATATTACTCGTCCAATCGATCTTTCTTCTTTCTAACAACCAGTCCTCGACACCTTCATATAAAAGAGTAGAAAACATTTTAAAAAAAGGATGAATGAACATCGATGGGGTTACCACGACTACCATGCTCGTATTCTCCTCTTTTTCTCTATCCGTTCTTCTTCAAACAACAGCAGCGACTATCGTTGCTTTACATAGACATTATTTGAATTCTTTTGTAGGCACACGTACGCACATTTTTTTTTCATTTTCTCTCATTTTTTTCTCTCGTCATAGTCTCTTTAGACTTACTGTTGCTTGTTTGCGCAGAGCTTGCGATATATGCGTGTATTTACATGTGTGTATATGTATGTGATGATGGTAAAGAGGAATTTATGTGCGATTGTATATATATATATATATATCGTTCTGCCATTCATTCAGTTTTATTTTGCTACATGTATCTGTCTTCCTTTTAAATTGGTGAACTCGGTCCCTATAGAGACGTATCTGTCGCTGAGATGTAGAAAAAGAAAATAGAGAAAGACAGAACGAGAAAGGTCCTTTCATTCAATTTTACCTTACATATCTTGAGGGTATTCAGAAAAAAATACGGTACACGTCTACACTTCATAAGACTAGTTTAGGTCTTCTTAAATAAATATATATATGTATATGTTCATTTTTTGTAGATATATTTCGAAAACTTTATCTAACGTATAATGGACGATACAAATGATACAAGTTTCGTTGTCGATGAAGTATCAAATGTGATAAAAGAATCAATTGAAGCAACAATTGGATCTCAATCATATCAACAAGCAAGAATAAATACATGGACATCAAATATAGTTGAAGCTATTCTTAATTCATTAACAAAATTAAATAAACCTTTTAAATATATTGTTTCATGTGTTATAATGCAAAAAAATGGTGCTGGTTTACATACAGCAAGTTCATGTTTTTGGGATAATACAACTGATGGTTCATGTACTGTTCGGTAAGAAATAAATTTTTTGAAAATAAAAAACAAAATTTTTATTTATTTTTGCTTGTTTTTTTTATTTAAGTTGGGAAAATAAATCAATGTATGCTATTGTCTCCGTATTTGGTTTATCGATCTGATTTCCAATATATATCTTTTCCTTGATCCTTACTCGAATGAACGAATAAATATGTGAATAGAAAAACAAAACAAAAAAAAAATACTATTAATAATTTTTCTTGTGATTTAGTTTTTTTTATTTGAAAAAAAGAAAGAATAAGACATAACACATGCAACAGACAAAATAAAAATTTTTTTTTATCATTTATTTTGTACAAATTATGTATGAACAAAATGAATATTCTAAACTAATAAATATCTAAGAAATAAAATCATTCATTTATACAGATTTTTTTATAGAAATCAAATTTCTATGATGGTACACATTTGGTTGTACTAAGCATTGAACGTGCACGTCTAGGTTGATCAATAGATTCATTATTATTATTATTATTTATTATTTCATTTCCATTTGGTGATAGATGAGTCATTAAAATATCTGTGTCCGAACGAGCATGAAATAAATTTGATGGTAATATTGTTTGTTGTTGTTGTTGTTGTGCATGATTTTTATAATGACCTTGACCAATTAAATACTCTTTTTCTTGGCCATGATCATCATCGAACGTCTAAATATATCAATAAAAAAATACCAGTTACAAAAATAACAACAACAACAATATTATTATTAGTTGTAGTATTATCGAGCTATTGAAAAGTACAAATAACCTTGATTTTTTATATACGAACATATAAATCCATTGATAAATAAAAGAAATAATCAAAGATGAAGAGGACTTTTATGGATTAGAAAATATCATTTGAGAAGAATAATGAAGTGATCCACTGATTTATCTCGAAAATAAATTTGAATACTTCAATTTAAACTCAATAAATTGTTTATTTGTCGAAGCTGAAGAAGTATGTATAGTTTTTATCGATAAGAAAAATGTCAACAAATACTTTATTAGATCATCATAATTGCCTTCGAAAAAAAAAGCGAATAGTATTCATTTTTACTTTTTTTTCTCAAAAAGGGCAAATTACAGTTGTATTTATATTTTAATATAACATTTATTCGATCAATGTCTTAGTGATAAGAGAGTTTTAAATATCAGTCTATAATCAACTAAAAATATCTCAATAATATTATTGCTATTCATTGATAGATGATACTGTCTTGAATAGATCAAGTAACATCTAATGTCTAACAATAACAATTGTTTTCAATTTTTATTCCGATGAAAAAAATATGTGAATTGGTTGACAAATTCTCAGCTGATTTAAATAGTTTCGAAAGATCTATTAAATATAATCTTTTTTTATCCTAAAAAAAACTTGACTCGACTTTTCTATTATTTTAAGAGAATAAAATAAATATATATTTACATGTTCATGTGCATCATCAAACATTCGATTAATATGCATATTAGAATTAAAAACTCCTTCATTCAAACTATTTGAAGTACTTGAAGTATTACAATTTCCATTATTTAAAGCATTTCCATTGGGTTGATCATCACTAGGTTGACTTAATAAAAGTGGATTGCACATCATAGCTGTTACCAATTGAACATGTTTTTCTAATGAATTTTTATCAGTATTTGTAAATTCTTGTTGTTCATTTACATTCGTTTTTTCATCTATATTTAATGAATTAATAGCATTAAAAACAGATGGTGATGATGGTTCACCATTTGCATCTGGATTTCCATTTGTTATTTGTGTTGGATGACGTGGAATGTCTTTAATATTTCGAAATACACGTTGAAAATTAGTTAAATTATTTTTATCAATTGGAATATTTGTTACTGATGACTACAGAGAGAAAGAAAAACAAGTTTTTTTTAGGTTTATATAAATTCTATTTTACAATTTCATCAAGGGCATTTGATAATAATTGTTCTGGTTGTAAACGTTTTTGATTTGAATTATGGGCGCGTTGTCGTTGTGTTGCTCGAACAGCTGCTAACCAAACAAGACGATGTATTTGTAATATTTGTAATTCACTATTTATAATTAAATTATAATCCGGAATAAATATTGAAGAAATTTCATCAAGTAAATCTGTTATATTATTTGTTCTAGAATTCATTACACAAAGACGATCAAGATAATCATGAATATCTTTTACACTTTTATGTTCCGCTGAAAAAAAGAACAAAAGAAAAATAAATTATTTATTTATATATTTTTCTTTTACCAAGTAATGATGATGTTGCAAAATAACTAAATGGACCAACAGTTGACATAATACGTTCAGCACCAGATTCTAATGTCGCATTTCCTTGTATGATTAACGTAAATAATTCATAACGAAAGCCTTTTTTATATAGATAAATTGAATTTGTCGATTGATTTGCTTGTCGTTTAATTGTTGCATATACATTATAATTAAGAAGAATTTGTAAGATTTCTTGTGAAATAAAACCAGATGTAAATTGATGAATATCTAAACAAGTATAGAATATATTTATCTTTTTTTTCAACATTCACTGAAGAACATGAAAATACAAAGCATAGGTATTAATCAATATGACAAAATATTCAGCATCACGAGCAATCGTACTTGGAAAAATGTAAAGAGAAATTTTTGACAAGTACGATTGTTCATTTATACTGATCATTCTGTATACTCAATTAACCCATGCTTAACTATTCCAACAATCAATAAATAATAAGCAAAATTAACTTGAAAATCTTAAATTAACAATCATAAATATTATTTACGCACCGTTAATATATACAATAGATAAACTATAATTAAAATAGAACATGCTGTTAAAGTTAGTGTATCAAAGAAAAAATAATACTATAGTTAATAGATGAAGGCATTGAATTATTAAATAAACCTACTTGTATTTAAAAATTGAAATACAGCTACTTTTAATTGTGGACTTATTGAAGGACCTTAAATATAAGAACATATATATCAGATTGAAAAAAAAGTTTTAACTGACCTTTAACAGGTCGTTTAACTAATGCTGTATAATCCATTGTTTTAGCTTGTTTACGTTGAATTTTACGACGATTATCAGCTTTAAGAAAGAATTATTACGAAGTTTTTTTCAAAAAAAATTGAATTTACTGAAGAAATCTGTTTCTTCTATAATTTCTCTTTGTAACATTTCTTCAATAACATCTTCAAGTGTAATTATACCAGCTGTTGCATAGACTGGATCAATATTATCTTCATCAGTTTGTAATTCTTGTACAAGTGCCATATGCCAACGAGCTAAAATTAAAAATAATCATATTTATTGAAATATTTTCTTTTTTTTGTACATTTTAAGAATTCTTGCATTAAACCATATAAAGAATCAGTTATTTTTGCATAACCATATGAATCTAATTATGTATAATAATTATTAAATATTAATACAAACAAAAATAATTGACATACGAGTATGAAATTCTAGAAGATTTTTTACTGTTAGATGATATTGTTCTGGTGTAATTAAAGCAAAATCACGTAATTTAACAATACCAATTATATTTGGTCTAAACAATTCAAACATTTATAAATAAGATTTTAATAATAATAGAAAATCAAACTTTTCATTTGAATAAACAGGAATACGTGAAAAGCCATGTTTATGTACATCAAGTAATAATTCAGCATCTGTTTTACGATCGCTATCAAGCATATAAACATCAGGAAGCCAAGTCATTGCTTCTTTTACAGTTTTCTTTCGTAACGAAAGTACACCTGTAATAACATCAAGTTCAGGTTTTTCAATATCTGCACTAATACGTGTAAGCATTCCAGCTATTTGATCACGTGTATAAGACGAAGTTACTTCTTGACCCAGGATTTTATCAAGAATAAAACCTAATGGATATGAAATAATTCCAGTTATAAACATACACATCCATGTTATGACATGGGTATGTGAACCAATAACTAATCCATAACGAGAACAAATAGCTTGTGGTATAATTTCACCCATAAGTACAATCATTACTGTTGAACCAATAACAGCAAATATACCATGTACAAGTGAATCAAGTAAAACTGTACCTAATGAATTAACTAAAACATTAGCAATGACAATTGAACATAGGAGATAATTGCCACGTCTTCGTAATGGTAAAACACGTTTAGCATAATGACGCATTGAAGAATCTTCTGATTCAGCAATTAAACGTAAATCATTGACACTTAATGACATTAAACCTAAATTTAAACCACTAAATTAAAAACAAATCAATTTTAATAATAAAGAAATTTTTTTTTGTATTTTACCTGAAAAAACCCGAGACTAAAAATAACATTAGAATTAAACATATTTTTGCTGCAAATGGTAATCTACTTTTTTCACGTAAAAGTGTAAAATATGGTCCTTCTAATTGTATACTATTGTCTATTTGAGTCTTATTTGATTTAGATTTAACTGATAATGGTGATGATAATAGACAAGGAAATATTGATGAATGTGCATTTAATACACTTTTAAGATTAACATTAAGTTCAATAATTGATGCTGATGATAATGGATATACAGGTGAAACAAAATCACTTGGTGAACATTCATTTAATGTTTCAGAAAATACAATTGAACTATTCTGAAGATTAGTACCACTTATATACAGACGAAGTTTTTTTTCTTCATTAAGTATCCAACCATTTTTTGGTTCAAATGGTATAATTGTTTCTGAACTTGTTGAAAAAACAAGAAATTGTGTAATCGACGGCTTCTTATTTAATAATTTTGAAGAAGATAAAGTAGTTGCTGTTGGTTGGGATAATATATATGGAATATTTGAAATAAGAATCAACCATAAAAATGTATAATATAACATCTAAAATTAATCCTCTTATCAATAATCCAGTACGAAAAGTAAAATGTCCTTTTTTTGTCTTCTACTACTACTACTATAATCGCAATGTACATAACAAATGTAATGTTTCTTTCTTATATAAGCATTCACTATTGTTTTTTTATGTTAATATAAGTACATTCTCAATTATGAAAATGTACTGAATAATTGGCAAGTGTTGATGGAAATCTATCGAAAGAAATTTTACTATATATACTTCATTAATTTAATTCACCAATCAATCAATATGAATAAATAAATATATTGTTACCGACACTTTTCATACAGCAATAGAGGGCGTGCAATTTTAAAATAAATCAAATATGTCTGAAGTTCTTTTATTAAACAGGAAAAAAAATCTTTTTTTAAGTAAAATAAAAAAAACCTATATTTGCATATTCTTATCAAGGTTTACCGTTATTCAGTAAGCGAGGGAAGGAAAGATTAAGAGAGGAAAAATTGTTTATTGATTGATCCATTCATTCATAATAGAAAGTAACAGTAATTGAAGGTTATTTCATTTTTGTTTCTTTTATAAAAGTAACATGTCATCAATTCCACCTAATTCTCCTATAATCGATTCAATATCAGGTTCATCATCAGAACGAACATCATCACCACAATCATTATCAACAGAATTATTTAATCGTCTACAAGCTTTTCAAGTCTATTTGGAAATGTCTGGTTCAATTGATGCATTAACAGATTGTATTGCACAACTTAATGTATCATATTCCGTATCCTATTCAACACCACTTGAACAATTTAAAGCTATTCTTCGTTCAAAACTTCCACAAACAATTGAAGCTGATTGTTTACAACAAGAAATTGATGAACTTAAAATAAAAATTGCTCAATTACGGCAAGAAAAAAATTAATTAGAATTCTGTTTTTTTTGTTTTGTTTTTTTGTACTGTTGTAGAATTAGATGAAAAAAAAATAACAATCAATTAATAAATAAAAAAAAGGTTTTTCTAATAGAAAGGATAATCTTCGATTGAAAAAAAGTTTCGGATGTATTTCAATTAATAATATATGGTAAAATGTTTTTTTCAAACTCATTGATTCTTTAGAATTAGAGCGAAAAATCATATATGTGATATGAAAGTATATTGAATTTGTTCGATACATGAAAATAAATGGGGAAAAACAATAAGTCAAGAACGATGGGTCATATAGAAAGAGAAGAAAACAGATCGGTAGAATAACTTATATATCGATTACACAAACGATCGATATATATATATATATTTACTGAGGCCAAAAACACATCAAATGATAGAAGGGAAAAAATATAACAATATAGAATAATTTTAACGACAACTGTCACTAGATCATAGTTCGACTATCGAGAAAAGCCACTCAGATATTTTAAAAATTTACGAAGTTTAGAATAATATTTCTCTAAAATATGATTCCTCTTCATAGTTAATAAATATAGTATGCATTTTTTCAAAGCTTTGTATCACGAAGAGACTTTGTGCAAAACTTCTTGAATTTTCTTATGCGGTTAGTGTAACCGAGGTCTTTATTCAGACAAAGTTTCTGGTGAAGATTCAAAGTACAAGTTTGTTGCCAATATGAACGTATTACAGAGAAAATCACTGAAAGCTTGATATTTTCTTATAAACAAACGTGCGAAACTTTGATTGAAAAGCATTCTAGTATTTATTTTTGTTTTATTTAAATATATTTTGAAATTATTCATGATTCTATTCAGATTCAGAAGTAAAACCTAACAGTAATATTTAATAAATAACTATATTCATTATGTGTGCATTGACTTAAAATGAAAGGATTGCTATTCTAAACAGAACAGATGAAATATTTCAAGTAGAGAAGAGAAACTCAATATTTTTCTAACGACATACATTTTTAGGTAAATACAATTCAAGTACATATCGAATTAAAATCAATACAATAGAGTCAGTGATGTTTTTCTCCCGTCAGTATGATACCATTAAAGGCAAATAAGATGCTTCCTAAGCATTCAGACGAAGAAAGAAAAATCAGGTAGGAAACAAGAATATCATAAATGATACATTTCTTTCCATCATATGAGTGATAGATAAGGAAGTCTTTATTGTATGAAAAGCAAAAAAAAATCATACACAAAAAATACAAAAATAGCTAGATTAAAATAATTTAATATTTGATCAGGTTATTACGACTTAGAATGATTCTATTTGTCATCTGAGTTGCCTGTTTCTTGACGTAGACGTCTTTGAATTGTAGGAAGACGATCAATAAAATCTGATGCCATAGCACCATCGTGACCAACCTCTTCTGAAACAGTTTCGCCAGCAACGGCATGAAAATAAACACCCCATACAGCAGCTGCAGTAGGTTGCATACCTTGTGCTAAAAGTCCACCAATAATACCCGCTAAAGTATCACCACTTCCCGCAGTACCTAAAACGAATCATCAATATCAATATTCATCATTTCATAATCTCGTCTTCTCTGGTTTATTTTAATTCGTTCTTAGATGCTGAAAAATGACAATTATTACAAGATTTTCTCACCTAATGCTCGACTACCAGCTTCATTCTTGAATATTGAACCTTCTGGTGTAGCAATAAAAGTATTTTGACCTTTGAGTACAAGTATTGCATTTGATTGTTGAGCAAATTCATTAGCATCTGATTCAGGTGCTGTCATATCGACTTCTTTACCATTTGTTAATGCTTTAAATTCATCTTCATGGGGTGTTAAAATTCGAGGAGCTATTGGTTTTTGTTTTACATCATAAGCAAATAAAGCCTATGCAGAAAAAAAATCAATTATTTATTCAAATGAAAAGTGAGAAAATTATAATCTATATAATATAAAGTTTTGAACTACTTATATTTAAAAACTACTAGTTCACTTAGTTTAAATAATCTTGTTATTTGTTTAACAATTTCCTTACCTGTGCATCAACTACCATTGGTAATGGTGTTTTGGCAAGAAGTTCATGGATAGCCTTTTCAGTTTCCTTATCTTCATCAATACCAGGTCCTAATACAACAGCTACGCAGGCTTTCATTTGTTCTTTGAGTAGTTTAGAAGCAGCACTAGCCGCTATTGTACCATGAGATGTTTCTGGTAAAGGAATTATCATTAATTCGGGAACAGCAACACCCATTGGTACAGCAATACTTTCAGGTACAGCTGCACGAACTGTTCCACAACCGATACGTAATGCTGCTCGTGCAGCAAGAATAATGGCTCCAGGTAAACGTCGACTTCCACCAATAATCAATAATTTTCCACGACTAGCTTTACTTGTATCATCATCCCAATTAGGAAGAGGCATAGATTTTAATAAATTAATATCAACTTTTTGTACAGCTTTCATAATGATAATATGACGAATAAATAATACTGTAGTTGTTGTTGTTCCTGTTAAGTTAAATAAGTTATAAAAGATAAAATATTATCGAAATATTTTCAATATAAAAGAAAGGCAATATAAATTGATAATCATAGAGACCTGTTCAAATCAGTTATACAATTTAAAGCGATTCATATTTTTTCAATTAGGAAATTTTTAGCGGATGTATAGATCATATTCATTCTCAATAACAGGATCATTTTTAGATTCATATAGATGTGGTTTTCTTTTAAAATGAATTTATAGGATATCTATAATATCTGACATATGCTATCTATTTCTAAACAAATTTAACTTTAGATTAAACTTTTAGAGGTTCGGTTGTACATAATTAGAATAAATTTCTTGCATTCTCATTTAGTGTTTAAATTAAAAATCAATGTATGATTATTACAAATTCAAGTTCTACAAACTATCATACAAATATAAAATTAGAACATTAAAGAATCTCATTTAACTTTCTATAAAATATAAATTATTTTTTACTCTTTAATTTATCTGTATAACAGTGAACAAATACACGTCCTGAATATGCTGTTTTTTATTTTGATCTTGTTGGAAAACAACTAATAAATAGTATATTAAATCTCAAAAATGTCATGAGATGTCAAATAAAAAAATAATAATTAGCTATTGTACTTTTACTTTTATGATATTTATTATGCTGTAAAGATATGAAAAAGCATGTAGCATAATTGATAATAATGTCTTGGTATATAAGCGCTACCAGTAATCATTATTTCCTACAAACTTTATCACAACGACGAATTAGTGCTCATAAAATATTTATAGATGAATGATTACAGTTTCAATAATTTACTTGAAAAAATAAACAGATCCGGTCATCATAGCGACAAACTGTCTGCAATCCAAGCGAGTCTTGAGAGTGCTCAAAGAATATGGTCGTATCAAGCAGCTCAATTGGTTGAGGCAATAGATCATGATTCGGTTAAACTAGAAGTAGCAAAAATGTGTTATCGATATGCTCAGGATCGAGCAGATTATGCTAAAACAGTAGGCAATGCAATAAATCATCATTCCATAGAAGAAGAATTAAAACAATTCTGTCGTGAAAATTAAAAAGACAATTTTTTTCTTCAACTTATATTGCATAAACTCGATTTTCAATAAACCAGATTTTTACACTTGTACTTTCGAAGCACAATATTAAAACTAAAACTCTCTATACAACAAAACTGATGTGGTAGAATAAATGCGCCTTTCATTTTTTTCGAAATATCTCTCTCAATTTTTGACGTATATACTTGAATTTTTTCTTAAAAGATAGCCCGTGAAATGCTCTACAAAAATTCAACAAAAAGAGCGCTTCGATCGAGTAGCTATGAAATTATATCCGATCAACACTTCAATCCACCAAAATGGACTACTTTCAAAGCATTACTCTTCATATTAACAATTTTGCGCCGCTTTTTTAAACACAAACAAAGAGAGTGAACAGGCCATTTTGTAGCCCATAAAAAGCTCTATTAGTTGAGAGAATAGGTTTTTTCACATGCTGTAAATTTTCCTGAACAAAACCTTTTTGCTATTTCGATAAAAACAGAATGCTGAAAAGTCTTTTTTTGCAACATATATCTTTTGATAAAAATTCAAGTATATATGCCAAAAATTGAGAGATATTTTGAAAAAAACTGAAAGGCCTATTTATTCTGTTGCACCCGTTAGGTATATATTATCTAATCGGTGTGCAAATCGGTTGATAATTCTTCCAAGCTTACAAATGCATTAGATTATTTATCCTATCATGTGCTTTTCTTAGTAAAAGTAAATATTTTCTGTCTGCTGACTGAGATAAATTATACGACTGCTTACATCAACAAAGAAGAAAATATTGGAAAAAAATAATATATTTTTACCTATATTTACTTGGAAATATTAAATACGACATACTTTTACAGCTTAATTATTATATTTACAACCATTATATAAAATATTTCACCTGTTGTAAAGTATATCATTTAAATTCAAACTATAGTTATATAATATTAATATTTTATATAAAACTTAAGATGAACTAAGATAAATACATATTAAATGGAAGTAATATTATTTTTATTTCTCGTTTAGTTACCAAAATTAATATTATAATTAATTTACAGAATAGATTATCTCAAATTTCACGTAATATTAAATAGTTTTTATTTAAAAATCGTTCTATCTTTATTAACATCTGATATTATAGAAAAGATACGTATATATAATTTATTTTTTCATTACTAGGATTAAAATGACTTACTTGTATTGAAAGAATATCAGATATATAGAATAATATTACGAAATAAATTATCTGAAACTAAAATAATATACTGTAGAATCACTCGAAACTCATCATTTATAATTTTCCTGGTTTAATATATAACTTTTCGATTGTCATATGATAGTACTTTCACAAACATAAAGATATACATAATATCAATAACACTTTAAGGTGCAAGATGATAGATAAGTTTGAATTTCTTTGAGATTTTTATATTGTTCTTGATAAATACAAAAAAAACTTTATCATAGTTTTAATTATAAAAACCTATTGCATTAACACGTATGCTTAAAAATCCACATCATTATAGAAAAAAAACAGCGTGATTATAAAATAAGATATGAATAAACTAAAATTAAGTTAAACAGAGATTAGTAATTTTTTTCGAATAATAAATGAGTAATGAGTTAAATATGTAATATGTATTCACTTGTATTTGGAAAACTAGAATTGAAAAGAAAAATAATTAGATTTGTTGAATTCTTATAAACTGAAAGATTGTTTTGTAAAATCAGCGCTCATTTACAATGGTAAGTGATTTTTTAGGTAATAGTTTTAATGAAATTAAAGATCAAATTACTTATTTTTTTGATTCACTAATATTGTCATTTGTAGAGGATGATGGTAGTAGAACAAATTCAGCCATTAATGGTAAATGATCACTTGGGTGTTGTTCATTTGGTAAAGTAAAATCATCACGTTTTGCTTGTTCACCATCACTATACAAAGCATTTAATAATTGTCGAGGCCGTATACGATCACGTTGATAATAAATATAATCAATTGTTCCACAAAAATGATTTACAATTCGTGTAGTAAATGGCATTAAAAATGTATTATCATTGTAAGCACTTTCCAAAGCTTTTTTATAGGTATGAGGTTCAGTTAAATATTTTGTAGTTTTTGTTGGATCATCATTAAATAATGGTAAATAGACGTCACGTACTTTAGAATAATAATCAGCAGTATCTGTAAGTACACCGTTTTTAATATAATCATGAACAATTGAATCAGGTTTACTATTAAAATCACCCACAATAACAAATGGACTATCATGAGTTTCTTTATTAAGACGAGAAAGTTCACTGAAAAGAGTACGAATTTGAAAGAGTTGTGTAGCAGGTAAACTATGATTCCAATTAAGATGTGTAGTACATATCCATATCTGTTCGTCTTTCTTGTCGGATGTACTCGTCTAGAAAAGAACAAAATAAATATTTAACTATATCAAAGAGTTTCTTTTTTGAACGACATTATTTAATAAATTTACCTTACTATTTTGTATTTGAAGAAGACAGAAGAGAGCAGCATTATATGTAGCTAATGTTTTTTCTTTTGGAAATTGTGCTTGAGCACTATCGAAATAACCAAGTCGATGTTGATTTATCAATTTAAATTTATCACGTTTAAAAAATATCACCACACCATCTTTAGCTTTGTTACCACCACGTTCAGCAAAAATACCTTCACCGTAACCTAGTTGAGAAAGAAATGGATTAAGCCATCGACGAAGATCATCTTTGTGCATTTCTTGTAAACAAACAATATCAGCATTGAATGATTGTAGTTCATGTTCAAATAGTTTTGATCGGTAAGAAAAATCCAAATAAGCTGGATTAGTCTTTGGAAAATATTGTGCTTCAGCAAGGTTTGATGCCAGACAATTGTAAGTTAAAATAGAAAATGTCGAAACAGGTGTAGGATAATCATCAATTCCTTTAAGAGAAATCATTTTCTGAAACATGAATGATTTGTGTCGTCGTGAAATATTGAATAAAGTAGGATATAATCCACGTGAAAAGACTGTTCGACAAATAGTGACAATCTTCATTGAAAAAAATTAGTGCAAATATGTTATAAGGAAGGATTTTTTGGAATGTTAACACAATAATCTAACAAATAGATGCGAAAAATTTTACGTAAATTAATGTAATTCTATAGATAATCAAAACTCATAGTTCTAATCACTAGAATAATAAAACTTGACTTGTCTTTGTTTCTTTTTAAAGAAATTGTTAACTTTACGTTTAATGAAAGTAGAATTAGTTGTTGCTGGAATAATCAAAATCATCATAGGAACAAACTCAAAGCCAACCAAGAAAAATATAAACAGAGGGCGCATGTTTTTATCCATAGAGTATATCATAACTATACAGCAGTGTAATATCATAAATGGGTGGTATAAGAATTACTATATTAATATATATTTTTGATTGTCAAGATGTAATACATATTTGTCCTTCATGTCAAAATCATATTGTTCGATGTAATGTTTCTTAATCAATACAAAATAAAAAGAAACAATGACGATTTTGTAATTAATTATTTTGCTTTGATTCGTTATCGAAATGTATTAAATTAAAAATAAAACATTCGAATACATAATCTATTGCATCAGTAAGAATAAAACAATCAAAAAACGTAACATGATAATTTTCTTTTTCTTTTATTAATGAGAAGAATATTTGATTAGGTTATTAGTTCATAATATATTATTTTAGTTTACATTCTAGAGGTATGCCGTTATGTAGGAAACACTTTTCATTTTATTAATTTTATTTTACTATCTACTAATTTATTTACAACCATTCACTTAATAAGCATGCACGAATCCTATAAAGTCGATGATAAATGTGAATAATTTTTGCTATATAAAACACTCAGTCTTTACCAGTTCTTCAAATCATTTAAACTTACTATCGATTAGACTATATAACGCTTTAGTCAAACTTGGATGAATTAGACGGAAAGAAAAAAGGACTGAGGGTGACTAGTAAAAAAACCGAAAATTTCAACGTTCTTAGTTACTAATATTTAATGTATTAATTTATTTTATCTAAAACAAACAAAAACGTTTTTTCCGTACACTTTCTATTCTTCACTCCGTATACAACCTGGATCTATGAAAATAATGTCGATCGTAACATATTTGTCTTCTCTCGTTATTAATATAATAGTATTCCACAATCGTTAAAATTGTTAGTTGTTTTTCCTATAAATAAAAGTGTTTCTTTCCTTATTTTACTACATTTGATTTTTCCTAAAACTTTTGAGAAAGAACAGGGAAGAAATGACCTCTGTATCTGTACCACCTCCATATAGTAAATATAATCTTCTTATATTTATTATTTATCGATTTTATTTTATTAAATAGCTGGTGAAAAACCAATGAATTATCAACAAGTACTACCACAGCCAGTCTATGTAACACAGCCGGTATATGTCGGAGCTCCACTTGGCATTTTAGCCAGTCATCCAATGCAATGTACATGCCCTCATTGCAGACTCCAGATTGTTACACGAACAGAATCGAAGATTGGTCTTTTAACTTGGCTTCTCTGTTGTGGTCTTCTTTTCTTTGGTTTATGGCCTTGCGCATTTATACCATTTTGCGTTGATGAGTGCAAAGTAAGCATTACCTTTATTTAAAATGTATACTTGCATTTTATAATTTCTGTAGGATACAGTACATTATTGCCCAAATTGCAGTGCAGTACTTGGAGTTGGCAAAAAATTATAAAATTACTGATAATCATGAACTAAGATTATTTTTAATTTCCACTATTTTAATAGTATTTAATAAAAAGCGAATATGCTTGTTTCTAAAAGTTTCAAGAATCAAACTTTTGATACTTTAATTAAATTTGTGTCTATTCAATGAACATTTTATTTTTCTTATTGCAATTTAACTGACGATTCAAATGATTTATGTCGGGTTCACTTGGAAGTTGTTATCATATTATTAGTTTGAATATTTTATAAGAATTAATACGAGAATTTTCATAAAAATCTTCTCAGTTATACAAATCCATCTATTTATAATAACTTAAAAAATGATACAGTATATTTTAAACGATATTAATGATTACAGTATATTATATGTGAATGCTATAAGGGCCAAAAAACAAACTTCATCTATAAAGAATAAGAGACACCGTTTTCATCATTTTCATTTAAGAGACCTTTCGTTATATTCTTATAACATCATCAGTCAGATATAACTATACATGTAAGACGAACGTATATATAAGAACAAAAAACAAAGACACATTAAGTATATAGATTTTTTGCGAATATACTTGTTTATTTTTCTTTTTTTTATAATAGTCCATTAAAAAGCTCTATTTTATGTTTCTTTTCAAATCATTTGATTCTATTGCTAGTATATTTGTATCCTAATTATTTCGGTGATTTTTATTGATACAATGTTCAGCAATTCCAGAGTACCCCATACCCTTGAACGCTTTCTTGTGTTCACGTTTTCTAACCTCTGACCCACGCGCTGTTTGTCCAATGTAGTAACCATCACAGTCATAACATGAATAACCATAAACTACTTTTTTTTGTTATCATTAGTACATCGATAAGTTTTACTAAATAATGATGATATTTTATTTCAGCTTTGAATCCAAATAAAATATGTGGGTGTGGGTGTAGAAGTATGTCTCGTTTTCTTTTGCACTCACACCCACACCAAACGACACCCTCAGTCCTTCTTTCTTCTATTGAAAATTATAATAATTAGTTATTTGTTTAATCTTACACTTTTTATTCTTTTCAACATTGCCTCCTTCGACTTTACAATTAAGTGCAAGAACACCTTTTACTCCTTTGTAGGAATGACATGCTTCAACAAGTTCAGATGCATTTATTACATTGTGATTACCATTTAGGTATCTATGAGCATATGATTTTATTAAAGCAGTATAGCGGTCACAAGCACCCTTCCCACTCTTAGAATCACAAAAGTAAAAACTCTCGATCGATATACCTGTTCTCTTTAACATTTGAAAAGTTGATACAATTGCATCTACTGAGTGATAACAACCAGCATTGTCCGATCTAATAAATGCTTTTTTTTAAATCCCTGGATTACTATTTTTCACTCGACTTAGTACATCATTCAAGATAGCCAATACAGTCGCATTATTTTGAGTAAATTGATCGAAAACATGAACAAACACTTTATATTCAAAAGTGTGTTTTTTTTGATAAGAATCCAATTATCGTTTTCAACTTTTGTAAGCTCGTTTGTTATATTGCAGTCATCAAACTGTGACTCTATATAGATAAATTGTCTGGTGTCAAATGTGCACGTTCTTTTATACCATAATAAGCAGACATAGAAAAGCAAGATTCGCTTTTAATGCTAGTTGTTGGTGCAGATAAGTAACAGCGAGCCGTTCGTAATAATCAATATAAATGAACACCATGTTCTTTCCAAAACAATAACGGACTTTTGAATGGATGATCAGTAAAATTTAAAAATTCTATTCTCCTTATTGAGTGTGACATTAGTTCGGGTTACATAAAATGATCTAAAATGTTCACAAAATAAAATATTATTTTGAATATTGTGTCTGCTGAATGTTAATTCATGATCATGTAAGAGACGAATATTATTAGTCAAAACACAACAGATATCCTTATATAATGCTCTCATAATTGAATCACCAATAATTAATATTCGTTTATCTTTGAATAAATCATTTAGTTTTTGATCAAATGCATTATCAGTCATCCTAACTATATCTAAAAGTAAACTGAAATAGAAAAATCAGTAATTGTTATTTTTTAACTTTTTCGAATGTTGGTTTTTTTAATAAGTAGCTACTTAAAATATAGGATTGTTAGCCACTGTTTTAGGACAGTGTTTCTCCTCTTCGGCACGTAGAGCCATCCTGTTACGAAGAGGTAGGCGTGTATTAGGAAAATCCGCACTCTTAGGTTTTAAGGGACAAAGACATAACGTTTACCGGGTATCCGTAACACATGTTTGCTAGGAAATCGTAATAAAAAAATACAGAAAATTGAAATGAAAATGATCGGGTGTCCGTAAACTCATTTTACCTGGAGATCATAAGTATATCATAATACTTATAGAGCACATTAATCTTAAAGAGAATGGAAATACTATATAATTATAACTTTCCGTTTGCAAATATGGCTGTATCTTTGTAGTATGAGAAAAGAATGACTTATACACCCACGCCCACCTCACAGCGATGAAATTAGAACATATTTGCCTTACAAAGTCTTATTTCTCGATAAGATTTGATTTTGTTTTATTTTGTTATGTAGTTCGTTCTTATTTCAAGCAAAATGATTCATTTTTACGATAAATCAACATAATAAGCAAAGTATAGCTAAAATAAATTTTCTATTTTTACTTTTACTGATATTCTGACATAAATAAAGACTCGTTCGGTATATATCGTCCTATTTCTTTTTTTCTCTTTTCTTTGATTTCTTAACCATATGTTGCTTCACATGCACATACATTGGAATGATAGACAAATAGTCATTATATACAAAGCATAACATCGATTCTTTTTCGATCACTTTTTATATGATATACTAATTATTATCCATATTTCTTTTCGTATCTCTATTGAAGATATCTTCATGAATGTGCATCGTATATCCGTGATGACTTTCAATATGTGGAAAGTTAACAACTATCCAGGTAATTGGCCACATCGTCGTTTACCTATTCTTGAATGTTTAACTACATTTACACCTGATATTTTGAGTGTACAAGAATTACATCCGTTATTTCACGAAGTTATTGTTGAAGCATTACCAACACATGCATATGTTCAAGATGATTTTAGTGGTTGGCAAACTGAAAGTAATATCTATTTTAATACAAACACATTTGATCTGATAGAATATGGTATTAGTGATATTGGTATGAAAGAACCATTACGACGTTTGTTTTGGGTACTTTTAAAAATAAAAACAACTAAAGAGCAACATGTTTCAGAAAATCAGACTACTCAAAAGATTCTTGTCGCAACTGCACATTACACATGGGAAGGACATGTGGAAGAATGTAATTCATACATTAATCTACGTAAAGAACAAGCACAACGTACTGCAACAACTCTACATGATTTACAATCAAAATTTGATGATCCTCATTTAGCTATGTTATTTATGGGAGATTTAAATGAAAATTTTCATCCACGACGTATTTTACGTGAAGCTGGTTTTATTGATTGTTTTAGTACATTACGATTACCTTCACTTCCTACTCATCCACAACGACCTAGTATACCTCATGAAGATAATCTTAGTGATGTAGCTTTAGATTGGATAATGCAAAATAATTATGCACGTCCTATTCTAGCTAATGTATTAAGAAATATGATTTGTACAGGTGGATTTTCTATATCAGACCACTGTCCAGTTATGTGTATCTTTGAAATTGGATCTGGACCATATATATCTAATTTAAAGTAAAATATATTAATAATACAAACATTTGACAAATCCATGTCTTATTCTTTCTTTTTATTTTTTATTTATCATTAAACGTTGTAAAGAATAATTGTTCGAAAAATCTTTCATTTATATATATATATTCTTTAAAATATCTATTGTTTTTATGCAATGAAAATTACTAAAAACAACTGAACAATATATATATATCATATTATTGAATATCATAGATTAACATTGTTTGTTTCATTCGAACTATTAAATATTGTTCATCTAACATACAAGCATTAAGTATAGAATTATCAATAATTATTTCTGATTTTCCTGTTTGATTATCAATTAATAAAAGAGATTGTTCATGTATACCATTGCTATAAATAACTAACCACCAACGATCATCAATAAATGATGATAAATATAACATAAAATCACTACTACGACCATCTTTTAATGATGATAGTGAAGGAATAATTGGAATTGTTATTAATGAATGTGTTAAATCTATTGAATAGAATGTAATACGAAATGTATCATTTTTATTTTTAATAACAAGTCCTAATTGTGAACCAGATGGATTAACTCGAATACAACGAATACCTAAATTAACAACAATAGAAAATTTAAATTCAAATCTATTTAGATTTTACCAGCATCATCTTTATTAATTAAATCTTCTTTTGTCCATGTCTTTTTT